AACCACTCAGAATGCCACTTAAAGTCATTTTTTGATGGGATCTGGACCCCATGGGGACTGTGGGTGTCATGGTTTGAGATAGTCCCAAAATCCAATTCCCTAGCTCCATCCCCCCCTCCCACATCTCAACCTAATGTGAGAGAGGTTTTTCCAGACAAAACACACCAGACTCCAAAGTGGGGGAAAGGGAAATATATTACAATGACTGTACAAATAAATACCATATCACATTATACACATGATCATAACTATCTCTACCATGACATATATATTTACAATGGATCAGATCTCTTCTCCCCTCCAAATAAAAGTCTAGGAGGGAAAGAAGGACAGATCCCTTCCAGTCTCTGAACAGCAGCATCTTCTGAGGCAGCAGGTTTCTTCTCATCTCATGCAGCAGCTGATAGCTGGCTTTCTGCCAGCGTCCACGAGGGAGGTATTCAAGCTCCCCCGGCCCCATCGCCTCACAACCGAGGGGTCTTCCGTGGGCTTCGTAACCCCAGACAAGGGGTTTCACCACGTCATATCACGAAGACACAGGGGAGTCTTCGTGACGGTCTGGTATCTCTTGCAGGGCCTCTGTGCCCTGTCTCTCAGGCTGCCACCGTGGCAGCAGTGCGAGGGGGGAGCCAAGGTCAACTCCCCCTGCATTCCTCTCGGAGCTCTCTAGCTCCTTTCTACAGTGCATGTCGCACTTCAAGGCTCTTTCAAGTACGAGTCCATCATCTTCCTCCTTCCAGGAGGTCTCAAAGGAGTTTTGGGGATCTGGTATCAGTCTTACCCCCAAGAACTCTGTAGCTCTCAGCTGCTGGCTCTCCTTTCCTCGACTCTCCTTCCAGGAGTCTTTTCTCCGGTGCTGCATGTTGTTTCTGCTGCTTCTTCAGTTCAGGTCTTATCTCTGGCTCTCTGCCACCGTTTCTCTGGTCAGCGTCGGCTGCTGCTCTGTGCCCATGGAGAAAACATCTCCCGGCATACTACAGGCACCTAGCCCAGCTTTATGCTGTGCCAGGTCCCTGCAGCCCCCAGCCAGGGGCTGGGAGGGGGCCAGAGGCCCCAAGGGGCTCAGAGCCCCTTCCTCGTGGCTCTACAACATGGCCACCTCTCCTACCACAACCAAACTACAACCCTTCTTTTCCGGTCTGGTTGTGATATGTTTACATTTCTGCAGGAGCGCCCATTGGGCAGAACTTCAAAACTTCCAGGGGTTTCCACCCCTTGGGGTCTACCACTTCTCTTAGCCTCTGGGGAGAACAAGGTTCAAACCACTACAGTGGGTCTGGGTTGCTCCTTGGCTGGGCTCCCACCTGGGTTGTTCTCTGCCTTCTGCATCCAGGTGAAATCCATTAGCTGATAGGGGGAAATTATGAGAGAGGTCAGATTTGGTATCAAGAAGTCTTGATGTGAATCTTAATGGTAACCAGAAAAAAGTAGGTTACCAAATATTACGTTGTAGCGGTGCTGTGTGCATGCCAAGTAACGAGATTTTGAGATTTTTGAGATTTTGGCTTCATTCAACTGGAGACCCACTCCCTGAAGAATGGTGGAGTTTTCATCTTCAGGATTAAGGAGAAGAGTGGTAGGGAAATGCTTTTTGAAATGTGCTGCCAGGGCTGTACCTGTCACGGAGAGAAGGATAAGAAACAATAATTCTCAAGTAACTTTTAGGCAAGTGTGGCTCTAGGCCACGCCAGCTGTGCATTTGCAGAGTTCCAGGGATTTTGGTTGTCACCTCTTTCTCCTGCTTCTCCCTCACCTCTGATAAAGGATAATCTGTTCATCCACCCTTGCAGCCCATGACAAAGCCTCTGTCTGCCACTTCCTTGTAGCTGATGTGAATTTTTTCCGTTGCATCCTACTGATGGCCAACATGGGAGCTAAGTGAGTGGTTGTCCATGAATCATAGAATCATGGAATCATTAAGGCTGGAAAAAGCCTCTAAGATCGAGTACAGCCATCAACCCAGTACCACCACCGTGTCTACCGTTAAACCATGTCCTCAGTTGCCATATCCACATATTTATTTAATGCTTCCAGGGCTGGGGATTCCACCACTTCCCTGGGCAGCCTGTGCCAGGGCTGGACAGCCCTTTCCCTGAAGAAATTTTCCCTCATACCTATCGTAAACCTTTCCCTGGCACAACTTGAAGTTGTTTCCTCTTGTCCTTTCACTTGTTACCTGGGAGGAGAGACTGACAGGGCACCTCGTTGAAGATCATCAAAGCATGTGGAAGTTGATGACCACAAAAAAGAACAGTATCAGAGATGGAAGAAAGCATTACAAGAATCCATGGAGGAAGAAGATGACCTTTAAACATAGTGGACTTTCATCAAAGACAATGGACTGTTGTATGAATGCACGGGTTATAGTGTTTGTTACACTTCTCTATTTTGTACCCCTGTATTACTATAGAAATCCCCCGAGGTTGTTTGTTCCTTCTACCCCCATGTTCTGATTGGTTGTGTAGCTGCCACAGTGCAGATGTTCCACACAAGGTTATGCCTCTCCCCTTTATCCCTTATAGAGATGTAACCCCTCCTTGTTTTTCCTGTTAAGGCGAGTTCCCTCCTTCTCTTTCCCTATATGTCATGTTCACACTTCCAGTTCCAGAATGTTCCTTTCCTCCCCTATATAAAGGGGAAGCCATGTTAATAAAGTGCTTACTTGCTTACCTTTTCACTGACCTACAAACCTGTAACAAACCCTGAGTAAGCATCCCTTATTTCCCCGCCGGGCCATAGCAAAAGCAGAGGTGAAACTTGTCATCTACTTTAACCAGAGATAAACCATGCCAAATCACTGTCATCAGCTGTCCCAGGAACCACTGCTATGGACGTTTTCCAGTGTACTTCTGGGTTTGGTGCTTAGTTTTCCTTTCTCACCATGGAGTTGGCCCTGGTTTTCCTCTGCTGGGTTCATGTGTCTGACGGCTCATGCTACAAAAAGAGTTTTATTGCACACCTGTGGAAGGCCAAAGGTGTGAGACTGCTGCATTGGCAGCCTTGTGCCTGGATCCTTCCAGCTGGCTGTGGGAGAGTCGTGGTGGCTTTGCCAAGCCCTGGGGAGGGCATGACACCATGACTTAGCAAGACCAGGCTGTTCCCACCCAGGATGAGTCACCGGGAACACCGGCTCCAGGATGTTGAGTGCCTGGGTGAGGTTTTGCTCAACTCCCAGCCTCTGTTTTTGCATTAACTCCCTGATAGCTAGAGTAGCTGATGGTTCCTCTTACCCTCCTGCCGGTCCATGCCCAGGACAACAGTGTAACTGGCCAGAGGATGGACTAAGATACACTTCACGAATCGGTGCTCTGAAAAAACCCTGCGCAAGTCATCATTAAACACCCAGCCCTTCCCAGCATGGGTGCACAGCATGGTAGCCACTAGATACATCCCAACAATTAATCAGTTTATTGTGCTTGAGCTGCAAGGCACAGAAAGGGCCAGGACAGTAATAGGAGCTCATTTTCAGAACTACATCCCTCTAGGCAAAGATTTGCTGGCTCCAGGACCAAGTAGCTCTGCTGCAGTGGGATTCACTCCCCAGGCTATTGTCAGGACACTACAAACCCAGCACCTCTGCAACTTGGCCGTGGATTTTGGGAAGGAGAGAGTTTTCACTGCAGGATTTGCTGTAAGATCCCCAAATACCCAAGCCATTGGGTAATCTGTAAGAATGTAATTGGGTATGTTTTTAAATAAGATCAAATTAATCTTCCCAGACTCTGCCCGGCTTTCATGAATCACAGCTGAAAGCAGGCGCAGAAAATCCTATATACAACTACAACAACCTTGACATCAGGAAACACCATACAAACACATTTCAATTTAAGATACTCAGTTCAAGTTTATACCAGCAGGAGATCAGAACAGAGGCTAAATGATTGCCATATACCACTTCTACACTTCCAACCGAAACACATCACACCATTACTGTCCTTCACTGTCAGGCACATACATCTTAATTCCTTCCAGGCTCAAGGTAATTGGTTTGAGAAAAAAACCTCAGCCAAATCCCATGTAACATTTTAGTGCAAACCACAACTTTGTGACACTTTCAGCAGGAGAAGAACGACAAGATGATTTCCAACTCTATATAAACTTTTCTGTTCTCCAGAGCTTCAGGACCTGAACAAACTTGACTTAGTGATGTCTGACATGGATTGTTTTTAGACTATGTATCCTCTTTTTGTTACCCCTTGGTCCTAGAAGTACCCCTGCACTTCAGATCAATGACTTAACAACTTGACAGGATTTAGAGATGAGTAGCTGCTGTGGGCCTGATGTCAGAGACATGCTTTGTATTGTTGTTGTCAATGATTTAGCCAGATGTTGGGAGCTGTGTGAAAATATTGATATTCATGTAATTGCTTAGGGAATCAAATTATTTCTTCTGTGCCCTAATTGTGGGGTACTAGATTTTGCAACTTCAATATTTTTAACACGTTTTGAGCATAGAGGATGCTTTTTGGGTATCTGTGCTTTAAAGGCTACTTGAGCAAGATTCACAATGAATTGCTCATGTTTTATTGGGCAAAAATCTCAAATTCTTGAGTGAAGGCGTTGGAGGGAAAACTTAAATGTTTGATATTAGAAGCTGATATTCAACCAATTCCTGTTAATAGTTTTCCAGACAGATATCAAGCAGCAGGGGTTTGGGATTGTGGCGTGGAGGGAATGGGCTTCCCAGCACTGGGGTACTCGGTTTAGGGGTGAAGAAGGCAGCAGTGCTTCATGCAGGGATTCATCTCCCACTGTCTCTGCAGGCCTCTGGAGGTGTTCTGGAGATGTCCAGTGTCCTTTGTGCTTTTGGTGAGATGTGTCACAGTTGTGTGTTATTCACTGTTGCTTCTGTAAACCCAGAGAAAATCCAGCGTCCGTAACGTAGGTGGCAACAAGGTGAGGGACCAACCACACGTGAAGGCGGAAGACTGTTGCATGGTGCAAACAGTGAACAAGAAAATGGATTGGCTTACAAAGGTTTGACTCCTCTGCCTCAACAGGGATGAGAAGAACCAGTCCATCATTGTGAGCGGGGAGTCGGGCGCTGGGAAGACGGTCTCTGCCAAATACGCCATGCGCTTCTTCACCACCGTCGGGGGCTCTGCCAGCAAGACTAACATCGAGGCCAAAGTCCTCGCATCGAACCCAATTATGGAGGTAAAATCGACGCAATTTCCTTTGCCCTGCTTGCAGTGGTCACTGTGTGACTCCAGAAGTCACAAAACCGGTGAGAACCGTGGGGGGTTGTGAGCCGGATCTGATTTACGGCGTCACAGCATCCTTGAGCTGGATTGAAAACGCAGAAATACAGTGACAGTCTTAATTTAACCCACCCTGATTGCTCCTGTATTTGATGGTCTTAAAGCTGAGCCTGTGTAACCCCAGCACAGCTCCAGGAGCCGGGCTTTGATGGGGCTCCAGAGAGGGGAGCCTGAGCAGTGCTGCTGGCACCATTAGTATTTTGCCATCTTCCTCCTCCTTTTGTCACTGCATGGTACCTCCTAATCTTCTTTAATTGTGTAGACGTGGTATAGAAAAGAAAGGGATTAATCTATTTGAGATACTTTAATACGGTTTTATTTTTTGTTAATTTTCTGTTGCTATCAATCATATGGGGGAATGAAAAGTCCTATTATAGGGAAATCCCTGCTTTGAAGGAAAATAATTCCTTTTATAAATATAAATGAAAGGGGAAAAGCAGCTTTGTTTTCCTTGCACTGTGGCCAGCTGCTGAAAATAGATGTTTGGGTGCCTAAATCCCGTTTTCCAAACAGATTTTGGAGTCAGGGTGCAAAATTTTGGAGGCATTTGTAAAATACTCAAGTCAGTATGAAGACAAGATTTGGGCTTTTCCAAAGTCAGCTGAGGACTTCAGACTCATGATTATTATTTTTTTTTTTTTAAAGGCAGGAACTAGGGAGTACAGCATTGTCCTGCACTTAACCTTAGGCTTGGCTTAACCTTCAGAGAGGCTTCCCACTGAAAGTGGTGCCTGATGGCCAAACTGTCTCTCAGACATGGAGGTTGTGGCTGATCCAGGATAAAAACCAAGCCTGAGAGGCAGCACGTGTGATCTAACACTGTGCTGCCTGAAGTGGGGTGTGAGCTGGAATGTTGAAAGAAGAGATGGTGCAGGTGATCAGTAAGAAAAGCCACACAGGTGTACAACTGGCAGGGGACACGATGCTTTTCTGTAGTTAGTTTTCTTCATGCTGGTTTACTCCTTTCCTCACCCATCTCCTCTGCCTCTGTGAAAAGTAGCTGCAATACCAGGGGACACCTAAAACAATGCAGGGAAAAAAATTCACAGTGCATGCTATTCTTCTATATGACCCCAGAATTTTATTGCTCTAATTTTCTTGCCTGTGTTCTGTTCTGGCTGTAATTTCTAAGTGCTGGGGCCAGGCAACGTGCCTGTCTTTATTGGAAATTGATGAGAACATTGCCTATGCAGGAAAAAAACCATAAAAATAACCTGCTGGGTTTGCAGAAAAACCTGAAGTTAAATGGGCTTGGGGGAAAGAAGGTGCCTTAGCTAGAAGAGGAGTTGTGTGGGTGGATGGATAGGGCAGGTAGCAGGCAGGGCTTGCTCTGGGTGTGATGCTGAGGCCATCAGACCATGGAGCCCTCAGCCCTGGATGGAAGGGTGGAGCAGCTGAGGGGTCAGGCAGCTTTGCATGTGCAACAGTCTCTTTGTTGGTTGTACTGCACAGAGTACAATCCCTGGGGATTTCCGTCACGTGCAACTGGAGGCGTCAGGTCCTGTGATCAAAAGTTTTGGGTGGTGCTGTAGGTAGTGCTGTGATTCTTGGTGAGTGTGCATGCTTGCTGTGTTCCCCAGGAGCTGCATACAGGTAAAGGTGATCGGCAAGGATTGCCTGGGAAAGGCAGACAGCCTTCTAGAGGGGCCTGAGGGATCTTTCCTGTACGTGTCCCTTCCCTTCCCTCACTTTTTCTGTGCTTGCTTGAAGCTCATCATCTCAGGACAGGGGAATGTTGGTAAAAAGTAAGCTGCTGTATCCATGAAGGGGAATGTTGCCTTTCTCTGGCCCTCTTGCATCACCATGAGTCACTCCTTCATGGATTTCCCTGTTTGCAGTGCTGCAACCCTGATGTTTGTACTTTGGGTTGGATTCTCTCCTCTCCCTTCTGCCCCAGTGTGTGGCAGCATTACCTGGAGCACTGGAGAGGCACAGGGAGACTCTGTCATGTCATCAAATCCGTGTGCCAGAGCCTGAACATCTGGAAATGGACTGCATCTTGTTCCCTTCTTCTTGCAAGGCTTCATTGCTTATGACTCCTCCAGGAAAGCTGCCAGTGTTGACTATGGACAAAGGTGGGGGCATCCTGTAAAACAAAACAGGAGTGTTAAGGCTGTTGGGATGTAGGTGATTTAATTACTGTACAGACACTCATTTCTGTTCATATGCATTTTTCTTCTATAAAAATCCTGGAGACACCACATTTTCAGTGAAGAGTCCTCCCCAAAGTCACATTGTTGCTCTGCCTTCTGCATCTGGGAAGGGGTTTTCCTTAAATCCCCCTGTAACTGTTTATATAACACTGATTACAAATTTAAATGCTTAAAACATTTCAAAAATTAAATTAAAAATTAATGTTTGATTTACTTTTATGCAGGCCATTGGAAATGCTAGAACAACAAGGAATGACAACAGCAGTCGATTTGGGAAATACATTGAGATTGGTTTTGATAAAAGATACCACATCATTGGTGCCAACATGAGGACGTATCTGTTGGAAAAATCTCGGGTTGTATTTCAGGTGAGCAGCTGCAGGGTTTTTTCCTTCTTTTGTTCCTTTTGGGCGCTGTACTCTGGGAATTCAATGCTCTGGAATTTTTCTATGAATTAAAAAGAATCTCTTCAAAAAGCGGAATCACAGAATCATTTAGGTTGGAGAAGACCCCTAAGATCATTGAGTCCAACTGTACCCCAGCACTGCCAAGGCCACCACTAACCCTTGTCCCCAGGTGCCACATCCACATGGCTTTTAAATCCCTCCAGGGATGGGGACTCCAACACTGCCCTAGGAAGCTGTGCCAGGGCTGGACAACCTCTTTGGTGAAAATATCATTCCTAGTATCCAATCTGAATCTTCCTTGGCACAACCTGGGGTCGTTTCCTTTCGTCCATCGCTTTCCTGGTAGACACAGCTCCCAGACGTGTCTTTCAGACTCAATCTTTTGCAGTTGTTCTTCATGATCCCAATGTGATGACCCTCATTCTGGGATAATTTGTACTTGGGAGACTCGTTTGTTGGCCTTGGGTTGTTCCCTCTGAACCTGAGGCTGGAGCCTTGGGGAGGGATCACTGCTGCTGGCGTGGCTGCTGGGCAGGGATGGAAAACCTTTCTCTGGGCAACTGCTTTGTTTTTGCTGAGCCTTTTAAAGTGCTAGGGAGCACAAACTGCAGGCAACTGTCTTCAGTTTTGAAGATGGAGGGGAGGCAGGAGAAGGGCTGAGGAGGCTGATGTCTCTGCTGTGACACATCCCTTGGGTTTTTTGTGCAGGGCTCAGGACAAGCTTTCTTGGTTCGTGCTCAGAAGCACCTGCAAAACTTTTGTCCTTAAACACAAAAAAAGAAAAAAAAAAAAAGAAAAGCACCAAATACAAAAATCCTAAAAAATTTACAACTTTGGGAAGCCATGAGAATAGGCCACCTTTTTTTTTATATTGCTATTGGTTTGCACCACAGTGCTTGCTGGCTAATGGAGCTGGGTTATCCCAGAGAGGGATAAGATGTGGAAAGTAATACAGAGCTATTTGTTTTCTTTGCAAGAGGGGCAATGTGTGTTGGTCAGGGCAAGCCTTGGCACCTCCTTTCTCTCTGGTGGCAAGAAAATGTCCCTGTCCTGGTGGCACTGAGGGGGTGTCAACAGTGGGAAGCAAGGAATGGGATCAGTGTAGCCCTGGGCTCAGTGGGCACCAGGCTGAGGGTGGGAGCACCACTGTAACCTCTTTGTGCCTCTAACTCAGAACTTTCCCCATAGGCAGAGCATGAGCGCAACTACCACATCTTCTATCAGCTCTGTGCCTCCTCAAGCCTTCCAGAATTCAAAGATCTCGGACTCAGTAAGTACTGGAACCTCCCTGTGCACTGGCAGCTGTTGCCTAGATCTGATGGCATCAGGACAACGTGGTGAGGTCAGAAATTTGGGTCGTTGGTGAGGTCACATGTCCCTGTTCAGTGGGAAGAGGTGAAGGGAGATGAGCTTGAAGGGCTTCTTCTCCCCGGTGGTGCACAGGTTTGCTTGTGCCATCACCAGGGATGTGGCACCCGGGATGAGGGTGGGCAGGCCCTGGCACAGGTTTCCCAGAGAAGCTGTGGCTGCCCCTGGATCCCTGCAAGTGTCCAAGGCCAGGCTGGACGAGGCTTGGAGCAACCTGGGCTAGTGGAAGGTGTCCTGACTGTGGCAGCGGTTGAAACAGGATGATCTTTAAGGTCCCTTCCAAACCAAACCATTCCAGGATTTTATAAAAATTTACAGCAGAGCTACAGTGAAACTATGTGCCCTGGTAGATGCCAGCTGATGCAGGGAGATCACGTGTTAATATTGTACCAAGCTTGCATAAAGATGTGAGTAGGGGTTGATCTGGCCAAAGCCTTGGCAGGAGCGGTTGTGTGCTTTGAATTCATTGTTATTTTTTTCAATGGTTAACTCCTGATATGGGTTAGAGTTCTTTTCCCAGAATTTGCAGCAAAACCTCTGTAGAACACCTGATTCAGAGGGTTTGCACTTGCAGCAGGGGGTGCAGAAATGTACTTTAGTTTATTCTTTTATCTTGGATATTTGCTATTGCTTAGAAAAAGTAGCAAGGCTTAAAATAGGCTTTTTCAGTATTTAAAATAGTGAGCAAGGCAGGCTGTGATCCCAACACAAAGACTTGCAGAGGTTTTCATCCTGGCTACAGAGGAATGGCAGATCCAAGAGAGAGTTTTCAGTTTCTGGGTAATTCTGGGCTTGTCTTTCTGACTTTTTGTGTCACTGTAGGCATATTGCCCACACGGAGCACATCACTTTGAGCACTTTCAAGAGTTGCTGCCATGTGGTTATGTGCTTCATTTTTGCAAAGATACCCTGAGTAATGGCTGTGTCTGCTGGCATCTTAAAATTCAGACACAGATGCTTTCAGCTCAGACTGGGATATGAGCTGATGTGTGAGAGCTCCAGCTGTGCAACCACCCCTCTCATCCTGGGAACATGTGGATCAGAGGAAACACCAGTCTTACTCATCACAGCTCTCTAAAAGCATCATCTGTGTTGGTGGTGACTGGTAACAGTGTAGGCTGAGAGGTCTTTGCTCTGCTGGTGGATTATCCAAGATGCAAAAGCATCTTTGTGCTGTTGTGACTGTGGCTCTCAACTTCTCAATTCAATAGCAACAGCTGGTGGTGTAGGAGGCAGTGGGTGCCAGGGCAGCTAGCCCCCAAGGGAGCCTTCTTGGGTCATTTTTAATCAAAATTTGGTGTTGTCAATGCACATCAGTCTCCAGCTGCACTTTTCATTGGTGCTTGTGCACAGGTATCCACCAGGTGAAACGCAAAACTGGAAAAGGAGGTAATTCTTTCCAAAGTTGAAGGTGTGTGTCCTTGGTGTTTCCTCCACTATCACCTTGCAATAGCGTAAAAATGAGTCTTCAAAATGTTTTGGTAGCCGGCAGATGTGGGACTGCTCACGCAGTCTGTGGGGACAGACATGTGGGTGCCGTGAGCTGCTCTTGTTGGCCCGATGGAGGCTCTGCCTTGACCTGTGGAATAGCTAGTGCTGGGCAGTGTTCTGTGAGTGCAGATGTGCACGATTCACTTATTTTTCTTTCTCTTGAGTGATTTTTTTTTTTTTTTTTAATTTCCAACTTTGCCTCAGGTTTACTAGCCTGTATTTCAAGATGACTAGTCGAAACTCAAATTTGTTTCCTTGTGTGAGGTGTACTTACCTTACGTGTCAGCCTTTTCTCCCCAGGACTTATACAAAACAAGGGGTATCTTGCTGTGAAAATCCACCATTTATTAGGCATGGGGGAGGATGTATATTTTTCCATATAAAAAATAAGAGCTTTTGCTTCTCCTTTGGCCCTTGCACGTACAAAGAGTTGTCGTTACTCTCTTGTATGTTGCAAAATGCTCAAAAACAGAGAGAGTCTCTAAACACAGGTGAGCCCAGCAGAGCAAACCAGTTTTGCTCAGTCAGAGTGATCCTAAAGGCTTAATCTGAAACTAGAAGGTAAATATTTGATTTAAAATGTCAGTGTGCAGTGCAAGTGTCTTTTGAGGTGTGGTGTCTAATTTTATGATGCCTCGGCAGTGGTGCAAAGCAGGGATGTGTTTTAGTTGTTTGCAGTGAATCAAAGGGTTTATGTGGTTGTTAAAATAATGATACATATATTGAAATGTAAAGATTGGAGTCAGTTATACCAGAGATGACTTGAGGCAGAAACAGATCTCAGTGTGGATGTTTAAAATCGGAAGCTGGTGTTGCGGTCCCATCAGCCACCACCAGCCCTGGGTGCATCTTGCAAGGTGCAAGATGTGCAGAAACAGCAAGTTGTTAACGTGATGTGCTCCATCTGGGGCTGGGTGAGCTCCTGTTGTGCTGGGGGACCAGGATGGACATAGTCTGCCCGACCCCAATCAATGTTTTCTGCCCCTTATTCCTGATGCTCCATCAATGAGCAGAATTACCAAAACCTCTGTGCCCCTGGGCTTTCTGTGTCAAAAAGACTTAAATGTTTTCTTTACAGCTTGAAAGTACAGCTAATGCAAAAGCCTACGGGAGGGCAGGGAAGGGATGGGGAGCTTCTGGTGGCAATTTGAGTCAAAAATTGCAAATTGCAGTGGTTTTAAAGGTTACCAGTAGGCTGATGTGGAACACACAGTAGGCTTTTTCTCTTTACATTCACGATGCTTGGGAAATATGTTTTAAGGTGGAGTGATTGCATGTGCAGCTTTTTAAAGTGGATATAAGCCCTGCAATCTGCATTTGAAATGCCTCTCTGTCTCCACTCGATTTATTGGTGTTGTCCTGAAATAACTTTGGTAAAGCACAGATGTTTACATGGTGTAATGCTGGCACTGCAAGCCATTCTCCGCTCCCTCTGCTCCCAAGGTTTAAGGCTTTATGTGGGAAAGGTGTTAAAGTATCTCAGTCAGTCATGGGTGTGTTAAACAGGATGAAAAATTATCGAAAGCAGTAACCTCAGTATCTGAAATAATCTTCACCCCTGTGATGGAGCAGTTATTAGAATACCAAATATACCATAGCACTGGCCTGACTGAGCTTGCTTTGAATGGGGAAGAGGTTTCATCACTGCAAGAAGTAGTTACAGTCACCTATCAAGGTTCTACTTCATCCATTTCTGAGTAACTGGGGTTTGAAGGGGACAGGTGCCCTTTGGGGAGCATCCCAGTCCATGTTCCAGGGGGTGGCTGCGGGGGATGAGTACTGCTTGGTGATGTATTGCTCCTCTTCCTTCTTTCCTAGCCTGTGCAGAAGACTTTTTCTACATTTCTCAGGGAGGTGACACGTCCATCAGTGGTGTGGATGATGCTGATGACTTTGAGAAAACGAGGCATGCCTTCACCCTGCTTGGTAAGGGTTTGCTCTGCTTGGAGCCTGCCCGGCAGAAGTCTCTTGCAATTGTTTTCAGTGTTTTGCCTGAATTATAATGTTCCTGTTGACCTAGTTGGCTTTACTTTGTTCTTCAGTATGAGCTGCAGAAGTGTTTCTTACAGCAGCCTGCAAAGCAGCAGTGAAATGGAGAAGGACACGGAATTTAAGAGCAACTTAAATAAACCATTCTGAAGGCAAAGCTGTGCTGCAGCTATTTTTTACACTTGTTTACAAGCAGGAAAAGAGCAATTACTCTGCAGTTCAATCTGTGCTGGGGCTGAGGGTGATGTCACTTCTCAGACCATCACAGTATTGTACCAAGTAGCTGATTTCCTGGAAATAATGAGCTGAGTACATCCCTGCTGTGCAGAGTCCATGTCTGTGTGGCAGCTGCGAAATCCATGCATGTTGCAGTGGAACAGTGCTGCAGCCTGCCTGCAGCAGTGGCTGTTGGAAAGGAAAAACAATTTTTGCTGGGGAAAACTTCCCTGGTTTATTAATATTTATCTGAAACCACGTTTTTAAATCCTGTTCAGTTTCGGTGCCTCTCAGATGCATTTCATATGTTGTGAGAGGAGTTCATGATGTTCACAGTTGGCTGTGAAATCCCCTGACCAGCTGTGCCAACAGTGAGCATGGACACTCATTTCAAGTGTTGGAACTGCAAGTGTTTCCCAAAAATTTGCCCTATTTGTGTTCAGATAGGCTCAATCTCTTTTTCTTTGGGGCGATAGTGGGGTCTTGTCATTACCCTCTTCTTGTACAGCTTGTGTGACTTCTAACTGTTAACTACTCAAAAAATAAGGCTTCTGTTTGCTCCAGATTTGCCCACAGGACTGTAATCCCCAGGAAACTCTCTTCCCATCCCCTTGGCATGTCTCTTTGTTCCCCTTCTCCACCTCCCCAAGCAGCCCCCCTGTCTCCTTGCTGATCCCTGGGAAGAACTGTGAGAGCATCTTCCTCTGCTGCCAGTTTGATGATGTTTTCTTTCTCTTCACATGCTTCCTCTGGCTCTGCCTTTCCTCATTTTTCCTTCAGTGTTTCTCAGCTCTGTTTCTGTTCAGGGCCTGGTGATACTGCTACTACACTTTTCAGCCTTTCCTTTCTGTGTGTAACTAGAAGAAGTCAGATTTATCTGCAAATCCCCACCCTAGCCAGGTTTAACTCCAATTAAGAGTTCCAAGTCACAGCAGAGCATTGCTCCTTTTAGTAACCTTGAAACCTTTCTCACTGTGCTGATAACAGAAAAGTCCCAAGAGAGAGAAAGGGAAGCTCTGGGTAATTCAGAAACCAGCAGGTGATGTCTTGGACCTTGGGTGGATAATTAGGACACCAGCCCTGAACACAAAAGGGACGCAGAAACCCAGCTGGAATGGAAAAAGAATGCAGGATACAGCGAGAAGGCCGTGTGCAGGCTGCTGCTGAGCAAAGCTCCTGCTGGGAATGCCTGTAAATCCTGCCAGAAAAAAAATATATAAAGCAATAACATCTTACACCCCCAATAAAGACTCACCAACACGTAGCTCTTTTTGAGGCACTGGGGACAGTGAGACAGAGTTCTGCATCACCTCCCTGGTGCCCTGCTGTATCCAGCTGTAGCACCAGCGTGGAGGCGTTTGTGCATCATGTGCAGGCCTTTAATTTTCTCTTCTGTTTGTGGGACACTGGCAATATGTTGTAATTTCTGTGCTTCAGTTGTCAGCCGACTACGATCACACAAAACAACCCCTTGTTCTGTAAAAGCCACAAGAGCTCTTACAGCTCTGACCCTGTTTGATCATAATGGAGCAGCATCCTTGGTTTTGTGTGTGTTAAACCCGTCTGTGTTAAAATTGACTGTTTACGGTGTGTTGATTGGAAGAAGTCTCATAATTCTGAAAACCAGCAGCCTGGGAAGGAAATCAAACACCTTGAGCATCTTCAAACAAAGTGAAAATTGCTGTTTGTTTTCTGGTGTGACAATCAGCTATCAATTGTTCACGCAGGAGTGAAGGAGTCTCATCAGATGACCATTTTTAGGATAATAGCGGCCATTCTGCACCTTGGGAACTTGGAAATCCAAGTGGAACGAGGAAGTGAAGCCTGTAGTCTGTCGGTAGGTCACCAGCTGGAGTGGGGCATGTGGGGAGTTTGCTATGTTCATAAATCAGGACATGTTGGATGTGTTGAGCTTCACAGCAGTATGCTTTAGTAGAAAGCCCTTTTCCTCCTGATTTTCTTTGCCTTTTTTTTTGGAAACACATTATAATTTCCTAGTCGCTTTGTTTTTTCCTTGGAGACAGTGAATTGCTCCTCCTCTCCGGCCAGCCTGTAGGCAAGATAAATCAAAGATTATCATCTTACATCCCAACACATCTTTAACTCTTCCTGCTTCCTTAGAACACCTAGTGCACACTGTTGGGGAACGGTGACTCCACCAGCAGAAGGTGTGATGCTCTAAAACCACTTTCCTGCAGGCAAAGCCATGGAGCTGCTGCTTGTGATGCAGCCAATCCAGCATCCAAAGGAGCACTGCCCAGTAAATTAGCAAGAATAAATAATACAAAACATGCCTTAGCGGCAATTTTTCTGTTTCTGTTTGTTCAGAGGTAGGGGGGAAAAAAAGCAATTATTTGGAAAATACTGTCCTGTAAATTATCATTGCATCTCAGGCTGGGTAGTTTGTTCCTAGTAAAAGTATTAAAATGGGTTCTGCACACAGTTTTAGCGTTACCCTTGAGACACCTTGGTGTTCGATGCATTAGGTGCTGGGGTAATTTACTTGATATTTGGCAACATGGATATGTTGAAAGAGGTCTGCTTTGACAATGTTGAGTTCTGCTAATTAAGTTCATATTGTTTAATTACCTACAGATGTAACTGCAAGGTGTTAAATCAGTTCTGTTATGCCTTTGAATCTGTAGTCAAAAGGGTATGATAGCAATAAAGCATTCTAGAATTCTCGTAAAGTGCACTTTTATTCTCCATCCCCAAACCCATTCAGCATTTGTATGTGCACGGATCTAACTGGAAACAATTTACTGCCTTTACATATATATTATTACATGGAAAAAAAGGAAACTCTTTTCTCCTTGTCCAAAAGGCAGTGCCCACTATCTTAGCACAACATCTTGCCTTAGTTTGATGGGGGGGGAAAATACATTGCACTGGGGAAAATGAAGTTCACATATAATTTTATTAATTGTTCAAAGCCCAGGCCCTTCTTGTAACGCACAATTTATAACTTTGTTATTCAAAATGGAGTTAGTTTGTAAAAGGTGTCATGGCAAAGCCTAAGCTTTAGCTTAAGAGCTTAATCCAGGTTGCTCTGAAGGAGTGTGTGGTTGCAGCTCAAGGAGTAGTAAAGTGGAGGTTGCTCTGTCCTCTGGAAATCTGCTCTTAGTGAAAACTGAGACCTCAAGGATAACCAGAGCAGAGCAGAGCTGTGGTGCCACTGTTTGGAGCTCTGTGTGAGCTGTTCCACTCATGTCCATGAAGACTGGCACAACTGGATGAGTGTCATTGCTTCTCCATTCCTGCCAACCACAGAGGGACACAGTCTCTCCCTAGATAGTTATGGAATGCCGCTAATTCCTTGCAAAGGTCTTGGGGGTTAAAGCTCCAGTTTGGGGTGTCACCAGCCTGCTGACTTTGCTTCTCATCCCCCTCTCTCAGAGCGAGGACGAGCACTTGAAGAACTTCTGTGGCTTGCTGGGCGTGGAGCTCAGCCAGATGCAGCACTGGCTTTGCAACCGCAAGCTCGTCACCACGGCTGAGACCTACGTCAAGAACATGTCCCTGCACCAGGTGGTGAACGCCAGGAACGCCCTGGCCAAGCACATCTACGCCCAGCTCTTCAACTGGATCGTGCAGCACATCAACAAGGCCCTGCACACCACTGTCAAGCAGCACTCCTTCATCGGCGTGCTCGATATCTATGGGTAGGCACGGTTTCTGCTTTTTAGGGCAGTTTAATTTGCCCTTGTTTTGCCCTTTGTAATTTGTCTTGCCCTTTGTAATTTGCCTTGCACATCATAATTTGCTTTGCCCTTCTTTCAAGGCACTCTTGGCCTTGGCTTATGCAGGTGATGGGAATGATGGGAAAGAAGCACAAAAAAGCACCATTCATGTGTGGTTTGCAGTTTGGATCCTCCTTTAGATTGTCCAATCCGACCCCAAAACCGTTCTGTTTGAGTGCTGGCTTTTGGGATTTACATCCCTTGCTGTTCTCATTTGGGATTTCTGTCTCGTGTGCATCGAGCTCAGGGTGAGCTCATGGTAAAGGTGCCAATGTGGAGACCAAAGACTGCACTTGGCTCTGCCTGAGGTTGCTCTGAGATTTGAGGAAAGCACTTTGCTTCTTCAGCTGTGAACCGCTGTTGCAGGGCCCTTGTGCCAGTGAGAGCTTTTGGAGGAGTTTGTGAACCTGTGGCATAAGGGCCATAAGGTGCAAAAAGCTCTTACAAGGCTTGCAGCCTCAGGGGCAATGAGCTTCTTCAAATTTGGGCTGGGTACCAGTCACTGCTTGGTCTGTCCTCCCAGCACTTGAGTGCTGGTAGATGAGGGATGTGAGAGTTGTTTGCGAAGAGTTCATTTTAGCTGAAGTGCTGCAAAGTAGGAGAAGGTGGAGGAGAAAAAAGGGATTCTGTCATTTATGGGGTGGAAAAGGAAAGAGATCTTGTGGGTTTGGATTTTACCCTTCACTCTTTCAACACTGTCTTTTTTCTGTCTCTCTGGGGAGCAAGGATAAGGGGAGAAGTCCAAGGTTTCCCAGAGAGGTGGTGTCCAAGGGCAGGTTGGAGGGGGCTTGGAGCAACCTGGGATAGGGGAAGGTGTCCCTGCCTATGGCAGGGGGGCTGGACTAGATGACCTTCAAAGAACCCTTTCAACCCAAATCATTTGATGGTTCCGTTGTTCTAAATGGGACAGCAGTGGCCTGCTGTGTTGCCTTAATATATTAAAATGCTGAGCTGTTCCTGTTTTGGAGGGGGAGGTGGAATGCATAAGTTGTAGCTGCTCCAGGAACCAGTCCCTAAGCCAGTGCAGTCGCTGTGCTTGCTCAGTCCCAAATCTCCTCTCATACCAGGCTCCTCGCAAGGTCTGTCAGATCTAAATGAACCTGGAGTTCAGAATGAAACCCTGCCAAAGCAGTGCTGGGTCAGAACAAAAAGACAGAAAGCTTTTATGGCTGTAATGCCCATACAATTGTCTGAGTTGGATCTTGTGTATAAACCCTCCCATGCGGTTTCTACAGCTGCTGGTGTTTGGGATGTTGATTTTCACATCTGCTGGACAAACACAGCAGCAGAAAGGAGGCTAGAAAGTGCTGGAGCATCAGTTCAACCCGCTCTGCTCATCTCCATCAGCAACTGCTGCCATATGGCAAGGCTTACAGGAACACTTCTATCAAGAATGATAAGATTACTGTTCTGTTTGTTTGGGGATTTCAGTGGGATAGCTTGAGATGGTGAGGTGGCTCTTACAGGTTTGCAAGTTTCTGGGCTCTCCTCAGTAGGTAGCACAGGACCTGGAAGATCTTAAATAGCTAAATGGGAATGGCACAGTCTTATTCGAAGACTGTATGAGGTAGAGAAGCTGTTTCCCATAAGTGTCTCCACAGATGAAAATTTCTGCAGGCTGGGATGTGATAAATAAAGCTCTGACATGGAACCATGTGGGCGGTAGTGGGTCAATACAGAAAATTGGATGCCTGAGTTAGGAAATCAGGCTTTCAGAAATCTGAATGAAAAGAGACTTGAGGATAATGCTCATGAAAGATTAAGCTGGGCTTGAAAACCTGTTAGTGTGGAAGAAAAGCCTCCTTTAGCTGCAGGTCTGTGCATCACATCCAGCGCGTGGGCAAACTGATGGTTTTACAGCACTGCTGTCACCATGGGGTGCAGCAGGGTTTTTTCCCACAAGGATCTGCAGGTCCTGTTGAAAGAGGCAGATTTGCAGGGGAAGGATGTCTGTGTTCTGCCTGTAGTGCTTGTGAGAATCTGGTGTCCTAAAAATCCCTTTTGGAAATGGGTGTTGCTGTCTAAATGCTGAGTGATTAACAATGCAGGGAATTTGGGTAATGATAACCTGACTCTGCAGTCCTTAAAAGCAGTTTGGTTCCCCAAACATGGATTTTTAGGGAGTTTTAATGCGTTTTGCCAAATATTAGAAGTTTTTTTCCAAATGTCTATTGTTTTTTCTTTTCATCTGGGAGAGGGATTGAGCTCTGAGAGAAAATGCAGAGGCCGTAGGATTTGTCTCCTAATTTTCTAATGCTCGACTTTGCACCCCTAATTCTCTATTAACATTGAGGTGACAGGGTGCAGCATTGAAAGCCTTCCATTGTATTTATTGAAAGCCATAGCAGCAGTACTGCAGTCTGTCTGAGGAGTGGGTTCACGTGGCATTCCTGGACTTGGCGGGGATGGCTTGTTTTTGCCATGTGAAGGGAAGTGTGAACACCCAGGTGGCCAGCTGTATGCTGGACTTATTTATGAACTTTAAATATTTTAGTATACACCCTGGTGCTACAGCGGATTTAGGAGATACAAGTCACACAGCAGAATAGGGAGCAGTAGAAAAACCAAAATATAGTGTTTGCCCCCTGAAGTCTACTGCCTCCAAGCTGAATGTGCCTCCTGGGGAGTCACAGGGATGGGCTGGAGTGGTGAATATGCTTATTTTTTGCATCAAGATCTAGTGCACTAAAATGAATAGAAACCAAACAGGCTCTGGTTTGCTTTTCCTATTAGGATGTTGCCTTGGTGCAGTCACTCTGAGCAGGTGGAACCTCCTGGCCAGCACACATGTAGAGCTGGTGACTGATCTGCTCTGTCAATCAGAAAATTGAGCTGGTAGAGTCCCTTAATAAGCAATTTAGTGAGATCTCCCTTGGAGCTGATGTTGTACAGCTGCTCTGCCCCTGGCTGGCACTCACTGAGAAGGTTCATAAACCTCATCTGGTGTCTCTGAAGTGGATATAAAGTTTCTACTCCGATTTCTTTTCCTCTTGCAGTCCCGCTCTTGTGTTTTTCTACCCAGCTCACCATCCCTCTTCATCTGTGTTTTAGTTAAATCTTTTCTTGCCCTGTTGCTGTGATCATGAACCTGCAGGAGTTGTGTTTCCAAGGAATCTTGGGCAAGTCACATCCCTTTAGCTGCAAGAGCTGAAGGTACCGACCTGCTCGGCACGATGGCTGTGCAACCAAGATCAGACACAGTGGGAGCTCTTCAAGGACATGCTCATCACTGAGGCTCAGACCACGTGTTTAATATAAATAGTTGTTGTCCCAGAGACCAGATTTCATTGTGTTAAAGACTGTAAGGGAAAGGATTGAGCATTCTCTGCTTGGCACAGGCTGCACCAACTGCGGGGGCAATGCCAGCCCTGGACAGGCAGAGGGGAAGCAGTCCCAGGTTTCCTCAAGGGCTGTGGGACTGATAAAAGCACAAAAGCAGCTCGTTTCTCCCATTCTCATTTCTCTTTTGCCTTTTTGTGTTGTATTTCCCCAAGGTCTCAAGCATTTTATGTGGTGAGGGCACCTGGTAATACCTGGGGAATAACTGCATGACCTGGGTAATGTGCAGATAATCCTCAGAAAGCAGCAGAAATACTGATTATTTTGGGGAGGGGTGATGGGAAAAAAAGGGCTTCATTTATTTAGTGCTTTAAGATTGTTCTGCCGGCTCCTACAGTGCCTATTACCCGAACAATTATTTAGCCACGTATTTATCCTTACAGCAGCTTACTCATTAAACACAGGGAGCCTTCCCACTTCTCCCCTTATTTTAATCCTTACAGTCACGTGTCAAAGATTTCCTTCCCTCCTCCCCCTTCCAACTGTGCCTTAAAAATAGAAATAAATAAAAAATAATTCCCTGTGTAGCTGAAAAAGTCTTCTTTGTTTTTTTTAAGAGCAGGCCTGGCTCCCTGTGCCTGTCCCTGGATGTCATGTCCTTCAGCCCCAGGGGCTCTGCTGGCTCTCTGCTGCTTACCTGTAGTTCACGTTACTAAAACTGCATATTTTTTTCCCTTCTAATTGTGACTAGGAAGCCAGTTTTGAGCTTGGTTTGGAGTCAATATGTGGAAAGGTGGGATAATGATTTGGTGAGCGGAGTTTTGGAAGCTGGTGAAGAGAGGGACCAGTGAGTCCAGCTCCAAACTTCCTCTAAGGAACATGGAATTGGAGCTGAAATCATCATTTTTCCCCTCTGCCTTCCAGAAGTTGCTTGCTCACGTGTGCCCAGGTTTTGTGCTAACAGGGATGCAGTACAGAAGCTATAGTTACAAATTCAGTTCCTTCTTTTTCTGCTCTCTTGAATTCCATTAAAAATAGCTCCTTGGGTCTTTTAGGACAGTGGCTCCTGTTTCTTCATCGCCTTTGCAGTGAATATATTTGGACTTAATATTTCATAATATTTTTCCCCAAGAGAGGCTGTTACATTTCTTGTCTCAGACAGCGCTTCTGCCTGACGGGCAGGAAGCTGCAGTTGTGCCAAGTATCTCATTCGTGCATAGCAGGAGAGACCTCTTGAATCCCTTGAGTTGTGCCAAGGAGAGGGAGATGTTTTGAGGAATAAAGTGTAGATCTGGGATAGAAGGAATGCAAGGAGACAGCTGAATACCTGCCGTTCCCCATCACACAGATGACACCGTTGTGGGGCGGGGGGGGGGGAGGAAAAGTAGATTTTGAGACAAAGCAACATTTAATGCTGATTTATTCATTGCTTTGCAGGTTTGAAACTTTTGAAGTGAATAGCTTTGAACAGTTCTGTATCAACTACGCCAACGAAAAGCTCCAGCAGCAGTTCAACTTGGTAAGGTCAGCTTGGAAGTGTTCCACAGAACTTAGCAGAAAATGTAACAAGGCAAGATTGTTGTATGTCTGGCTTCTGTTTAATGGCATTCACCTGCAGTGTGGACAGATCGTGTGGTCAGTAGGAATGCAGTCCCTGGGATACCTCTCTCCCAAGCATTGCACTGAAATGGCACTTAATATTCCCATCAGGTTGAAAAATGTTGCTCTGTTGATGTATAAGCTTGATACTGGAAATAGGTTTTATGTTTTATGCAAAGGTTCACTAGGGTTTTGAGTAAGCATATAATTTGCCTTTTTCTTGGTGTAGTTTCAGTCCTAAAGCAAAATCTGGATCGTCTTGTGCCAGGTCCTGATTTCCAGTGTAAGTTAAAGTATGGGTGTGGAAACCTGCCCATTAAGTGTGGCTTAAATCTGTGAAATGAAAACTCTGTATTAAATAGCAGGATTGGACACACTCCCCGCTTTTCACTTGGACATGCCTCACAAAACCCGGAGATTTTCCTATTTTATTAGAAACAAGTGCTTGCCTGCACTGGAAATGAAACCAGTAAGGGGGTTGTCTTCTACTTTGGTTGTAAGCAGGGGAGAAATTGCTATCAGTTTCAGGATGCAAGGGAAAACTTGTTAAATTTGAGCAACTAAGTACTGCAGATTAGTTTGGCCCTTTGAAACCATATCATATGCATGGCCATGAACATTTGCAGTCTATCTAAGGCATCAGATAGATCACTGCTGCTAAAAATGAAAAGTAAATTATGGATTGTATTTGCACTATTCATATCTTACTTGGTATGTCTAACTATCACTTCTGAAGCTTATAAATCCAAACTCCGAGATGACATGTTTGAAGAGATTTTAAAGAGCTATCTTTGAGGGAAAAAAGTGCATTTGAAAAATCATTTTTAATATGCTTTAGAGTATCTCAGAAATAGCCAGAGACAATTTATCTGCTTGGGCAGAGTTCTGAGATACGTAAGCCACACAGAGGTTTTTTTTTTTTTTTTTTAACCATTTTTTTGAATAAGAGGCTGCAATAGAAGTGTCCCTGATTTGGTCAGATGCTGCTGCTGATATCCCTTCTAGGATGATGGGTGCTCTTTGTGAAGCAGATGGGGGGATGCACTCTTAGCCCTGGCTGAGCTCCTACTGCAGGTCATTGCTTTAATCAGCAGAGCAATAAAGGAGAGAGGGATTTTTGTCAGCCCAGGAGATATATGTGTCATTGCCACTTCAATATATGGCTTCCACCTCAATGTAGTGACAGCTTCAGTCATTTTCTAGTGAAAGTCATTTAAAGCCTTATTTTCCCCTACCCCATGGCAGGGAGTGGTTTCCGAGTGTAATGCTTTTATTTCCCTTGCCAGAAGCTAAATTGTGTAGATGGCAGAGCCTGCATAGGCTGAATGTGAGGGCACCTAAACCTCTATGGCTTCTGGATGTTCTCGTGGAATACTGCACTCCAGAGGGGACAGGGGGGTGGATGTGGAAGGGGCTGGCTGGGGTCACGGCCAGTAACTCTGCTGTTCTTCCACTCTCAGCACGTGTTTAAACTGGAACAAGAAGAGTACATGAAGGAGGGAATCCCTTGGACTCTCATAGATTTCTACGATAACCAGCCCTGCATAGACCTTATAGAGGCCAAACTTGGGATCCTGGACCTGCTGGATGAAGAGTGCAAGGTAAAAAGTGTTTTTCTAAAAGGTTAAATAATAGGCTTTAACCTGAGGCATCTTGCAAGAGGGTAAAAACCTCCTTCATGTGTGTTGCTGGGGTGCCTGTGGCAAGGGGAGGCTGTTGGCATTTGCTTTGCTTTAGAACACTCCAGAGCCTCCTTGGCAGGTATTTGCTACCGGCCTGGTGCCTGATCTCACCATGTGCTGCCAGTGCTGATGTTTCTGGCCTGGCTGTAGTTAGGAATAGCCATTGCTCCAGACTTGATTGCTTTGGTGTTATCCAGGAGCTGGAGTTCCTCTTTGCCTCAAGCCTTATTTTGTCTCAAGGGAAATCTGAGTCCTCTTGCAGTAGCTATTTGGGGTGAAGCTGATTGCATTCAGTGCACAGACTTCAGAGACTTGCAGTGTTGGAGAGCAGTTTGCTCTCTTTTGCACTCTATCTCTGTCTCTCATACTGGCCAAAACTAAATCTTGTTTAAAAGTTAAGAAAGGCCAGAATGGCAAACCTTCATGAGAATCCATAAGAAAGGTTGGACTTCTTATTCACTCCTTGTTCAGTCATGAATTACCAAATATACCTAGGAACAAGAAGGGTCAGATGGGAGATTTTCTTGAGAAGCTGGGATGCCTGTTTTGAAGGTCTTTTTTTTTGGAAGGGGATGGGAACAGCCTTCCTGCTGGATGTACCTGCCCTGAGGAGCCTCAGACTGGTTTTGCTATGGTGTGATCCAGCAAGTTGTCCTTTGGGAGGAGTTTCCATTGAGACTTGAATATATTCTGTGACTGGAAATGTCGTACTGGTTGTGGAAGATCTTTGAGCATTTTTGAACAAAGGCAGGGAGGGATGAGACAAAGGGTGGTGAGAGAGCTGAAGTAGGGAAGGGGCCCTGGCCAGGATAGCCAACGTGATAAGGACACAAGGAATTCCTGTTGGCTCTGTGGGATCCATGAGTAGAGGACAGATCTGGTGGCCCGAGAACAGGAATATCATGTTGCATCAGAAAGAAAGGTTTTGGATCCATTATTTAGACTAATGCCCCTGCTGGGATGGATTTAAGGAGGTGTATGACCTGTCCTTGTCTGGGAAGAGGGTGACCTGTCAAGCGTTTGCCTTCCCAGGCACGATGGGGCTGCCCCAGCCTGCACATCCCCAGCTCAGCTGGGGTACAGACACTCCATCTATCTCCTTGTGATGAGCCAGAGTTGGGACTTTGACTTTTCAAATCTTCTCTCAGGAATACTCCTTAAAAATGAGAACAAATTAAACTTAATTTGATGTCCTTAAAAATAGCATCTCAACCAGAGCTGGCTCGGAAGGAGGTCAGAGTGTTTGCTTGATACTCAGTACCATTTCTTCTGGTGTCTGTGCTATTAGGCCTGCTAAATTTTTCAGTCTCAAACTGTCTCTTGGATAACTTTGAGGATCTTAAATGAAATTACCCTTGTGTCTTGTTGGGAGTAACACCCTAGGCTCCTCTCTGGGGCACGTGGCACTGGTTGCTGCAGGTGACATTGCATGAGATAGAGCAACTCCCATGCACCACCTACTAATGTGGGCAACTTTGCTGCAGATCTACCCGGTACTATTTCTTTTTGTCTGTGCTTATTTTTTTACCAAAAAACCCCCCCGAATCATGAGATCTATTCCCCCCCACATAAAATGTCAATTCTCTGGTTATTTACCTGTCAGTGGGGGATGCTGCCATTAGTCAGAGGCCCTTATTATAGGCCCTGTAATCACCTCTTTTATAATAACATGTAAGTGTTCTTCAGTTTTATGAAAATTTCAGCAAAACCTGTCAACTGAAAGCACCAGTTTATGGATGAAAACCTTTACCCCCATGGAAGTGTTTCACCTCTCAGGGTGGGACCACAATAGGGTAATTGCACATCACCTCGTTAGGACACAGGGTGGTGGATAAATGTACTCTGGGACTTGAAAGGGCATCGAGGGGATCTTGGCTACATGATGACTCACTAGCACAAATGCAGAGGGTTTGTCACTAATGTTCTTGTTTCACAGTATGGATTTTTTTTTTTTTTTCATCTTTAGTGTGTGGATGGGGAGGAGGTGGCTGGGAACGTGCTGAAGCAGTTCAGCTAGTGAAGGTCATATGAGAGTTTTGTCCCTGTTTAGAGAAAAATTGAAACAGGAATCAGCAATGAAAGAGAGGACTCTTGAACTGAGATTGGAGCGTTAAGGACTAAACCTGTCTCATGAAAGCAAATGAGAAAAGCCTTAGTTCTTAAAAAAGATTTTAAGATATAGAATCATAGAATGGTTTGGGTTGGAAGGGACCTTAGAGCTCATCCAGTTCTACCCCCCTGCCATGGGCAGGGACATCTTCCACTAGCCCAGGTTACTCCAAGCCCCATCCAACCTGGCCTTGGACACTTCCAGGGCTGGGGCAGCCACAGCTTCTCTGGGCAACCTGTACCAGGGCCTCACAGGGAAGACTTTCTTCCCAAAATCCCATCTAAGCCTGCCCTCTGGCAGTGTGGAGCCATTCCCCCTTGTTCTGTCACTTCATGCCTTCGTGAAAAATCCCTCTCCAGGAGGTAGATATTTATGTTTGGGGTTTTTTTTAAACAGCTTTGAAATCTTAGGATTTGGAAGCTGTTGTAGAATCGTTAAGGTTGGAGGTGGCCTCTGGAGGTCATTTGGTCCTACCTCCAGTTACACCCTTGGTCTGCCCAGGAATCCTTATAATCTCCATGGGCTGTGATCTGTGTCCTCTGCTGAGTGACTGTGGAGTTCTTGAAGTGCCTTTTCCCTGTTTCCTGCACTGGAGTTTCATCTCCCCGGAGCTTTTGGAATCTCTTAGTTTTGCTTTGACCTAAAAACGTGTCAGAGGAACAGCAAGAGTTCATGTCCCATGCACCACGATGGCATGATGTTGAAGCGCTCAAGCACAGACTGATGACCCTGAAGAGATGGGAAAGGGCAGAAGGGCATCCAGGAGAACCTCCCTGTGGAGAGATGTGAAGTGTGCATGGAGTCACCGCGGGACAAAGTGAGGTGGTGGGAAATAATTTGGGATGAGAGCAAAGTCCTTGAGGGGAGCAAGTAGAGTCTGTCAGAAGAAATGCGCATGAAAGAGGGAGTCTGTCTTCTGAAAATCCAGCTGTGAGAGGATTGCTTGGATGTCTGGAATGCATTTAGGTTATGGTCGCACTAGTTGTGAAGGAAATTACTTTGGTGGAGGGGGGTTGGTTTTTCAAGAGACCTTAATTATCTTCAGAGGAAACGGAAAACTCTCTGAGAAATGCAGTGAAGCCTCTGAGTCAAAGTTGGATAAGCTGTCCTGCTTTTTGGGGCTGAAACTGCTTGCCCTGTGGGAGTGCTGCTTGTCTTCCACATGCTTCCCAAGTGCCTTGGACATGACTTTCAGGGACTTGGGGTGATTCTTGGGTGGTCCTGGGCAGGGCCAGGAGTTGGAGTTGATGATCCTTGTGGGTCCATTCCAGCTCAGGACACTCTGTGATTCTGTGATTTGGGAGTACAGTCAGAGGTTGCTCTCGATGCCCAAGTTTCTCTGTAAGGTGTCCTGCAGCCTCACTGCTTTCGTGCTTTTGCCTGTGCTGTTGGGATGGTAGTGGGAATGAAAAGTTAATGAAAAAAACCCCTGTCTGTTAGCATGGAATGCATCGAAAAGGGTTCTGTCAAGAACAGGCTGGTTGGAAGGGTTCATGTGTCAATTGCAGAACAAGATTTTGCAGAACAATTGTCCAAGATTTGTTAGGGATCTTGGTGAAATCCTTTCTGCTGAGGAGCAGCCTGACCCCGAGGCTGCCGAAGGGGGATGTTTCTCACCAAACCCACAGACTCCCTCACGTTCTTGAGCTCTTCTTTTGTGGCTCTGTTTTGTGTTTGATGGCACGTTGCCATTGTGTTATGCTGTTAATGTGCCAAATGCATTTTCTAGTGTTGTTCAAAAGATGCTCTTTAACCTTTCCCGTGTCCTTCTGTCAAGTGCCAGAAACACTGAAGTCTGTTTCTGGCTGACTGGTTTTCAATCCTGCTTGTCTCCGCGCGTCGCTGTGAACTTGGGTATCTGAGCAAATGTGTTTTCCTTGTCTGGACTCGTTAGTTTTTTGAGCATCAGAAATGAGCACATCGCCTTCCTGTGCTGCCCTGTCCTGTCCAGGGGGATTTCTGCTCCACGGGCAGAGGTTGGACCTCTGGGCTTTCCTTTCGGGCGGGCCGCCCGATCCGATGGCAGAACAACCTCCCCCATGTCATGCTGTCAGCTTTGATGACTTTAAAGTCAGGCACATCACTTGCACTGGAACGTGGCTCTGGAGTGCAGAGGAAGCCCAGGCTTTTTTCAGGCTTTAACTTGTACTGGAGCTAAGGACAAAAGAAATAATATGTAAATGACTTTCAGGGGGTTCACTTTTAGATCATTAGGTTTGAATTTTAGAATCTCAGAATGGTTTGGGTTGGAAGGGACCTTAAAGACCACCTCTTTCCAATCCCTTGCCATGGAGGGGCATGACCTCCCACTATCTCAGGTTGCAAAATGGGAGGACTTGAGCCTGTGGGGTGACCCTGGCCGTGCTGGGTGGGTTTGATTTCGGTTGCAGTAGCTCCTGACAACTCAGAGGACAGTGTATGGAGGGATTACACTGTCCCACCCATTTTGTGAGGAGTGACAGAGGCACGACAAGGAGGACGAGCAGAAGCGCTGACCTTGTGTGCTATTCCTGGTGTAAGTTTTACCTTGTTTAAAGATTCCATGCAAAACTTGCAAGGCAGTCGCTTTTCGTCTTCCCCAGCCCCTAAAAAAGAGATGAGATAGTCTCTAAATAACTTTCTCCGTGGCTCTAAAGGCCTTAAACTGCCAAGCTAATACCAAAAGCTGTTATAATAGTGCAGATAATGGCCCTGTTAGTTTTTATCTCTGGAACTTGGTCCCAGTCAGGTGCTCCTCAGGCAGCTAAAAATACTCTGGCTGCAGGATGGTGAGCAGGGTAGGGCAAAACCCTCTTTCTGGGAGGCAGGAGCGAGGCCTTTGAAGTTCAGCTCTGAGATAAGCAGGTTTTTCAGCAAAGTGGATGGCCTAGAAGAGAGCCTGGTGCAGGGTAAATCTGCTCTCTGCAGCATCCCACGGCTCAGGTGCTCCTGCTCTGCACCTGTGGCTTAGTCCTGAGCAGGATGTAAAAGAATATATTTAATATTTATATGTAAAAGAATGTCTTTTACATATAAATATTAAATATAACTGATGAAAAGAAACCCATCTGCATTTATATAACCCTGTAGTTTAAACATGCAAGTCTATCTGGCGTAAATAAAACATGTATATAATTGCATAACTGAGTGCCATTTTAATATTTATATATGCTCTCTGTTATTTCTATGCGTGTCCATAATTGGCTACACTTAAAACCTGTGAAATATAAATAAATCTGGGGTAGCATGGCATGCATGAGTGGCTGCTGCATTTAATTCACCCCCCTTACTGGGGATAGGCAGGAGATGCTTATCCCAGTGTCCAGAGCCCTTCTGGTGTGTTTTGGTTTGCTGTCATGAAATCAAAGGCTGCTTCAGAGCAGCGCTGAGAAGTATTCCTCAACTGTCTTGAGGTTTCCTTCTCACTGTTTGCTGCCCCTATTTCCTCTGTCATTTTTCATATAAAGATCTATGTAAAGTCCTGATGGATGATCCAGAGCTCTGCCTGATGCTGCACAGTTATTCTGTGGTTTCTAGGCTTTTGTCCCATCCAGTTTTAAATATTGCCTAACACTTCTCTTCCAGCTCTTCTCTTTTTCTAACCTAAATTATCCAGTCAGTCATTTTCTGTTAAAACTTGTGTGTGTATATGTGCCCTACTGGCAGTGATCCATGGGATGGACCCATCAGCTGTGGCTCTTCAGCCCTCAAGAACAACAATTTCACTCCTTGTTTCCTTTGATTTTCAAGAATTTTGTTTTGTGTCGAGCTCGTTGGGCTAGAAAAGCACAAAATAAAATATATGTACAAGTAGGTGCTTTCCTCGAACGCCCTTATGTTTTTTCTGTAAAGTTTTTGGGCTTTTGGCTGGTTAGCAGAGAAGGACCTAAATATATCCTGGAAGAATGAGTCTGCATGGGAAGTGTAATGATGTATTTAATATTAGAAATCACAGCATATTTTTATATGCTGCTATACAGCTGTATGTGCTTAGAAAATAACAAAACAAAACAAAATTTTCCTGATCTTGACAATATGTTGCATTAACTTAATTTTACCATTATTTAGTGGGTAAAAACTGCAGATGCTGGGGAGGATGGTAAGCTCAAGCATTCTTTAACTGTTAATGTGTGAACAGTAGCCCAGGTAGTGCTGTGAGGTGTTCTTTTAAGTCATTGCAGTTTTTTAGGATTTCTCCATTCTCTGCCCTATTCTACCAAAGCAATTTCTTGGGCAACACCTGATATCTTGCTGTACCGTGGCCAAATTTTTTCAAATTTTGCGTCCTGATTTCAGTCTAAATAGAAGGCAGAGGGAGGGTTTGGTATCCAGGACATCCGTGGCACAGGAGATTTGGATGTGTGGGAAGGGGACATGGCAATCATTCGGCTGTGGCAGGACAGGTATGTGGGTCTGAAGTCCCAGCCTTGTGTGTAACTGGGGTTAAAACATCATGGGATTGGAATCCAAGTGATCCCAAAAAGGCAGAGATTTCTTAAGAATTACGATTTTAGTATTATTTAATTTTAGTATCTAAGAATTGTTATTGTACTGCTATTATTATTTTAAATGAGATAGACCAGAACTTCCCGCATGTTTTCTCAGGTGGCAGTTTCTGGAAGTACTCGTTCACCGAAAATAGCACTAAAAAAAGTAATGCTGGTGCCTGAGTAACTAATGTAACTTAAGTGTAAAAATACTCCCTTAATCTTTGGGTATTTTTTTCCTGCAAGAGCAGTTCTGGCTGTTGGAACAGAACCAGCATTTGGGTGTTTTTTCACTGGCAGTGAAATTTTAGTGCGTTTGTCAGGAGTATACAAGAAAATAGAGTAGCACGCGCTCCTAGAACTGGTCCATCTTCCCACCTTGCAGGTTCCCAGGGGCACTGACCAGAACTGGGCACAGAAGCTGTATGACCGCCACGGCTCCAGCCAGCACTTCCAGAAGCCCCGCATGTCCAACACCTCCTTCATCATCCTGCACTTCGCTGATAAGGTACCCAGGGCTGGAAACGGGAAGTGCCCGGAAGGGAAATAAACAGTCACGTGAGGGAAAATTAGTTCACAGCCCCAGCGAGCTGCTTTTCGGTGACAGGGGTGCCTGGGTGGCAGATATCTCGGCTCGGTGCTCGAGTCTAGGTCAGCTCCAAGGACTTCAGCCTCAGAACTGTTGCTCTAAGCTGTAAATTGTCGTGGTTTCTAGAGGAGAGTAAAATCCTCTTTTTCAAAGCTGCGGCGAAATGAATTTCTGTAAGGGCAGCTTGACACAAAATGTATTGGAAAAAGGAATTACTTCTGAAGGGCAGGAGCTGCGAGTGTCAGTGAGGCACAGTGTGGGGAGGAGGTGAGAGGTGATCCTCTCTGATCCCACCTTTCTGAGGGAGAAGATACCAACTGTGGGACTAAACTAAACTAAATCCCAGTGTCTGGAGCTGTAGGGGCATCTCCATGGGCTCCAACTTCATCAAAACCCTGATGTGACAGGTGTCACTCACAGCAAATGACAATCTCAAAAGCCTGCAGTTATCCCAAAGATCCATTTGTTGGGAAAAAAAAAAATACCAGGGATGTGTCTGAGGAGCCAGACAACAAGCAGGTGCTTTGCTGCCATACAGGTGCTTCTCCTAACCAGATTTGCCCTGGATGTGAGAGGCACTTTTCATGGCAAAGGTTGGTACTCACCTTTCCTTAGGCATTTGGTTTTGCACTTGTATCCCTCACAATCTATATCTCTCTGCAAGTTCCCCCCCCCTTTTTTTTTTGTGGTCAGTTATTTCAGCCAACTTCAAATGTAAAAAATGAAATTTTCTTCTGTCCTCTCTAAAGTATACTTTAAAGAATGTTTTTCTAAGTTCCTTTGCATCCCAACCCTCTGCAATTTCAAAAACTAAGAGACCTACAAGAGACATAGCCAAGACATCTTTTGAGGTTTATTGATTAGCTTGCAAGAAGATGAGGAATGAACAAAAGAGCTTGTAGAGTTACTGATGAACTTTGCATTTTTTTTTCCCCTCTGGTTTCCATACAGAGCAATTCAATGACTAAGAAACAGTCTGCGTTTGCAGCAAGAGTTTTGCTTTTATTCAGATTCACTTCTTCTGATTTAAAAGTGACCTTTAAATTCCAGTTGTTCTCCCCTTTCCCTCTCTCAGGTTTTTCGGGTGAACTCTGGGTAGCAGGGGAGCAGTGGGAGCACCTCGTCCCTGTGTGGTCTGACTTTACCCTCTGAACTTCCTTTTGTCTCCTGCTAGGTGGAATACCAGAGTGAGGGATTTCTGGAGAAGAACAGGGACACCGTGTATGAGGAGCAGATCAGCATCCTGAAAGCCAGCAAGGTAAAAGCAGTAAATCATGGCAGTGGTCCTGGTTGGAGCTAAATTGTGTGTTCCTGTGCCATGCCACAGCATGTTGGGTATGTGAACATGTAACAGCAGCGAAAGAGGCAAATACATGGATGTGGAGGAGGGAGGAAGGGGGTAGAGGAGAGTGCTGGGGGCTATAGTCACACCCATGTGTGGGTCTGTATGGTTATACATGTTCTTTCACCCTGGTGTTGGTATCCTGTCATCACAAAAATCGTTTCCAAACCTGCTGATCCTCTTCTTTTTTGGTCACCAAGGACCAAAATTAGGAACAGCTAGTTACTGGGCATTGTATATCCCACTTAACTCTTGCTTGGAGCTCCCAATCATCAGCTGGCACTGAAGGTGTTATCATAGAATCACAGAATGGTTTTGATTGGAAGGGACCTTAGAGATCATCTTGTTCCAACCCCCTGCCGTGGGCAAGTATACCTTCCACTGGACTAGGTTGCTCAAAACTAAGGTGATCCTGGGGTTAAAAGCCATGGTCAGCAGTGTAGTCTGTATATTGTGGGTAGCTTTGATGACCCTATCACCCTTCCATACGAAAATTGCTGTTTGTCTTAGCTGTAGTCCATCATACATGTCCCTGTGTCTTCTAATTACTTTAATAATTAGTATGCAAAAGATAGGGTTAATACACAACGCTGGAAATGTTACCCAAACTCTGAGGCATCCCAGCTGCTGTGGAGCTGTTTTACACCACTGCCAGTACACAGTTTTAACAAATAAACTCATATTCGTGATCACGCTGCCACTCCTGTGTTACAAGATTTCGTGCCTTGTGCCTTTCTTCTCTTGAGTGTTGTACAAACAACTTGTCAACATCTCATTGCTTCAAGTGCCAGCGGGGGTGTATTGACTGACTTTGAATACCAGGTCTCCTGCTAAAGAGCATTTTGGCTCTCAGTGTTAAAAATCTCTGGTATTTCTGTGGGCTGGGGATTTGGTGGGATGTTGGAAGCAGAAGAGCAGTAGCTGTGGGGCTCTGCAGGCTTTGGTGTGGGTCCTGTCTGCAGTGAAAGGGCATTTGGCAATGGGCTTCAGGTTGGACACTTCACAGCTCTATGTATAAATTGAGCAGATTTTACACTGACTTCCAGTATCACACTCTTGTCTCCATGAGCACTTGGGGGGATTGGGTTAAAGGTGTCAATAGCACAGACATCTAAGGAATTTCAAATACTTGCTGTTTTAAAACCAGACCAAAAGTTCTTCCCTGCAGCCTTGAGTCTTTCATTGTCAAGTAATGAGCTGAAACTTCATAGACAGCCTCATCCCTTCCAGGGGCAGCTTTTATTAAAGAGTTAGAATGAAAACCCGGCCCTGCAAAGTCCAACACCTGCATCCTGCATCCAAAATAAAGGCTGCGTGACTTTGGGGCACTGCTGTCCCACCAAACCTTGTGCATGGTTTAAGGAAGGAATGTATCTGCTTTTCTACAAAACTTTTTGAAGCCTACCACAGCATGGGCCAGTATGTTAAATTGGTTTTGGGGGTTTTTTTGCATTACAGATTCTGGACCCCCCTGCATATTGCAAGCAAACGTGTCACATATCCAGACCTCTCTTTGTGCCACCCTCCCTTGGGTTTACTTCTGACTGTCACCTTCCAAAGGCACCCTAAAGAAGGAGTGGGGTGAGGGGAGGTGGAGGAAATAGTGGTTTTAGAAGCATTTTAAGCAGGAGCTTGTTCCTGTCAAAGTTCTGAGATGAGGATGGGAAATTATTTGACTGTTGTCAGTGGCTTGCCCTGTGTCCCCGCCAGGAATTCATATGAAGAATGAGCAAATTTCTCATCCGTGGGGGTAATTTTGAGACTAATAACTGTGAAGCTGTCTCAGGGCAAAATCTGGGCATGATTAGAGCTTATTAGAAATGCCAGGTAGCCTCCAGGAATAATTGATGCTGTATGATGAATTATTTAGCCAGTGCTGAACTTGCTGTTGAAATCAGTGCTGCAGAACTGGCAGTGTCTGGTAGGGATTTCTGTTTGACTTGGTTGCAGAGGAGAGATGTGATCTATTGTTGTAGAGTGTTGGGGATCCTGGAACTCCCTCTGTGAAAATAAGATATTTTTAAAAAATGGTGAAATAGGTCTCTCTGTCCTATACAGGGACTATAATATAATACCAGAGCAGGCTGGACTTTCATTTAATAGCTGAAAAAACCACCAAACCCTGCTCCTTGCAACTAGTTTGCTTGACCTAAAAAAACCCCAAACAAATCAAACCATAAAAAATGAATGTGAATGTCTTGGGACCCAAGATTTAAGTTTACCCGTCCTGCAAACGAGGGTAATGGTCCTTGGGGTCAGGTGTTAGGACCTTGTGGCTTCATGGTGGCAGCTTTGTAGGCGACACCAGCATTGCATTTGTGATCATGGAATCACAGAATGGTTTGGGTTGGAATGGACCTTAATCGCCATCTCGTTCCAAACCCCTGCCATGGGCAGGGACACCTTCCACTAGACCTGGTTGCTCCAAGCCCTGTCCAGCCTGGCCTTGGACACTCCCAGGGATGGGTCAGCCACAGCTTCTCTGATCCAGCACAAAACACTCTCAAATGCACTTGGCTCTGAGAACATTTGGGAGATAGTTTGAAGAATTTCTGCCTTTAAGCCATTTCTTTAGTGACATGGGGGCAGTGACTGTTATCGGCCTGCGCTTATGCTGTGCTGTCCTGGGAAAAAGAGCAGCAGGAACATCCTCACTTTCCTCCTGAAAAGCCTCTAAAAGCTGATGATCTGCTCTTGGTTTCCCTAACCCCTGTTTGCCAGCAGATTGTGTTATCCTGTTTTTTTGTTTGATTTTTTTTTTTGCCTCTTGACTGCCATGTACCTCCCAGGGCTATAAACAAATAAAACCAATTTTCTTTTGCTGCAAAAAGCAACCTGGTCTCTCTGAACCGAAGAGAGCAGCAGTGACAGTGCCGAGTCTGCTGCTCATATGTGCTAGTTTGATTAAAACTTAAATTTGTACTGCAAAAAGCTGTGCTGTGAGGACTTTGTCCTGTCCTCAGGACCAGGCCTGCATACAGTATTCACTGCTTTCTTGTTTGTATTCCCACCAAATCTATGTGGAGGGCAAGGGGGAACACTCAGTTTAACACAGCAAGGACCTAAACACCTCTCCATCAACAACCACATCTCTGATGAAGCGCTCCCACCAAGGCAGAACTGCCTTCTGCTAATTAGAATGCAATTAATGCCATCAACAGGACAGTGAAAGAAACTTTATAGAGCAGCTAATTAGTTCTGTTAGTGCTGGTCAGCTAAAACAGTTGAGAGTTGATGTTCTTTGAATTAGGGAAACTGATTTGACTACTGATGGAGAGGAGAGCATACAGGTATGCTGCATAGGTATTGTACTCCAGTTCCTTTGTAATTATGAATAATGCACTGATGGTTTTGACTCTGCCAGTTGGGAAGGAGGGATCTGTCCTTCTTGCTTATCCCCCAGCACCTGTGGAATAGATCCTGGGCTGCTAAGGATGATCCCAGCGTTGCATTATGCGAGCTGAAAGCTCAGCTCTGAGATCCTTCTCCAGGAATAAGCAATGCTGTTATTGATTAGGAAGTGGATGGCACTTCCAGCTATGTGTTCAGAGGATATTTCAAAATCCAAAATTACAGACAGGGGTTTTACCACATTGTGAAGTGTGAGATAGTGATGCAGAGCCCGTGTTGGATATCTTACAGTATCAAGCCTATGCCATCCAGACATCCCAAGTTTGCAGGAGTCAAAGCATCCAAGGCAGTGACATGTCATCCAAGTACAACAGCTGTCAGGATGTCTCTTTTTTGGGGATAGAGGGTCAGGCAAAGAAGGTGAGAGCCTTTGTTCTGGTAGGAGTTGAGTGAGCCCCAGAGATCAAAATAAAAACTGTGAGTATGAAGCAGATCCTTAGCAGGCACTGTCCTGGAGTCCAAGATGTGAAAATTTAACAGCCCTGCTAACCATGCCAGATTTAAGGTGGCTTGCTTAATATTCAAGTTCCCCAGTCTAATGCAAATTTGAATATCCTGCTCCTTAAATAATAATAATTAAAAAAAAGACATTAAGTGCATTTGCCAGCTCACCTGTTCTCCTGTTTATGAAGTGGAAATGTTGCTGCTGGCTTGCCAGAAATCCCAGACTTTAGGGATCTGAGGAGCCAAATGTGGTGCATCCAGGGCTGTGGAATGGTGTTCCTTGCTTGTTCAGCTGATAGGCAGGTAGTGAGGAAGTGCTGGTGTATCTTTAATTGTTAGAGAAGCAAGGGTGCCTCTGAGGCCATGGTGGGACCTTCTCACATGGAGACCCCATTACTGGGGTGTGTGCTGTTCAGGCAGCATCCTTGATGAGGCCAGGGCTGGATGAGTATTCTGAAAACAAGCCCACAAAACTCTGGGGTTTTGTGTCTTGACAAGATTTCAGCCTCTTTTTTTTGCACATTCAGGGTCTGATGAACTATGAGACAGAATGGCCAATGGTCCTGATGTGGGTTATGTAGACAATGCTTCTTGCTTTCACTTTTCTCGCCCTTTTTCCCCTTCCAGGCTCAAGATGGGTAAAAAATGACCTGACCAACGTGACTTGGGTGGGTTCATTCCCCAGTGAGCAGGTCCAGAGTTGCTCAAGTGTTGTTGTTTGTTTTAGTATCCAATGGTGGCAGACTTATTCCACGAAGAGAAGGGTGCTGTGCCCGTCACTCCCGTGGGAAAGGGAACATCCAAAATCAGCGTCCGTTCTGCCAGGCCAGCCATCAAAGCTGCCAACAAGGAGCACAAGAAAACAGTGGGACACCAGGTAATGTATGATTTGAGTGAGTCAGTCAACAACAGGGGAATCCAGTTAAGATCTTGTTGCCTCAGTTTGAGTCAGAGATAAATGAAAAGCTGTTGGGGATGGAAAGGCACTTTCCCGCGACCCGTGTTTGGCTGTTGCATTTTGGGTGACTTGTAGCAGTGTCTCTGGAAGAGGAGGCTTGAGTAGTCATGACTGGAAGTAGTTGAGAGGTTTAAGGAGGGTGGAACCACTCTGTGATTCACTGGAATGTGTCCCACTGTACTATGGAACTCATAAATTGAAACAATTTCAGAAAAAGAGCAATTTTCCCCTTGTGTGGACAGTCAGATGGTGCAACAAGGGCCCAGAGAGGTTGTGCTGTCTCCACCCTTGGAGATATTTCAGAGACCCAACTGTGTAGAGTCCTGAGCAGACACTTGTTGCTCGTGAACCTTAAGCTGGAAGTTCTCAACCCACCAGTTGCTGAATGCGCTGGGCAGGCGGGGAGGTTCACGCTGCATCACATCCAGGGGCTGGTGCCTTGTGGCACCTTGCAGCTTGGGCTGCAGGGCTGCATCACCTTCCTCCCTCCTCAAAATGAGTGGCTTTTTCTTCCAGTTCCGCAATTCGCTGCATTTGCTGATGGAGACCCTGAATGCCACCACCCCACACTACGTGCGCTGCATCAAACCCAACGACGAGAAGCTGCCCTTTAAGTAAGTGGGCTTTCACGTGAGAAAATATGTTCAGCTTTAGAGCAACAGAGTGTGCTTTGGGACCTTCCCCTTGCTAGGGACATTGCCCCCTCCTTGTAACGTTGTTCCTGTAACTGGAAGGTTGCAGGAGTATTTTGCTGGAGTCACTTTTTTGGGTTTCGTTATGTGCGTTTTGTGCCTGTGAAATGAAGACTAATTCAGGTTATAGTAATTCATAGATATACTCTGCTAATAATACTGAGCATCCTTGCTTTGCAGTAATAGGGTCTTTGTACAATTTCTTCTTAGACTTGCTTTGATTTAAATAGTTACGGTTCTAAGCAGTGAAAAGATGAAGAAATTAAAATGCAGAGAAAAGTAGTGGGCTTGCAAAATGAACAAAAATGTCTTGGTGCTTCCAAAATAAATGTGGAAAAAGTAAAGACGTGACTTGTATCAACTTCAGGCAGGTTTCCAGGTGAGTGAACAGCTGAAACAAAAAGCCAGTCTTGATCTTCCTCTGTAGTTCAGAGACGTACCGTGAGCGGCAAGCGCTGTGAGCAGAGAGCTTTTAGCCTTGCTTGACCTCTTGGTCGTGTCTTTGTACCCAGTTTTGTTCCCTTCAGCTCCAAAACCCTTGTCTGTTAGCATGTAGGAGCCTCATAGATCATGTTGTGATGTCCTTTAAGGGCATAAACTGCAGGTGGTGACCTTTAAGAAAGCAGCTTATGATTGTAACCCATCAGCAGAGAGGCATTTCCCTCCAGCTGATCCAACGCAGGCTGAGGGCTCCCAGTGAGCACAGTGCAGCCTCAGGGTGCAGAGGCAGCTCCAACAGTGTCCTGAGAGGAGGGTGAAGCACCTGTAAACAGGCTCACCTTTGGTCACAATGTGCTGGTGGAGATGTATCCACCAGGAAGCTTCCTGGCTTGACTCTTCTTCCCCTGCAAACAGCAAAGTGAAGGGTATTAATGGTTAGAAGATGTTCAGACACGGGTTTATATTTAACTGATTCCTTAGATGATTAGTTATCAGCTCTGTGTTGGCTGCCTGTGCTGGGATGGCAGTTCCTGTACTCTGCTGTATCTGTTTCATGTACCTTTTTGTAGGTACTGGAGATGCTTAGGGCCACACCTCAGTCTCCTGTTGCCTATTGCAGTGTTTTTCTATTTAAATGAAATTCAGGAGTAACACTTTGTGATTGATTGTTTTCTTTAGCTAAAACACAGAAGTATTTTCTGAATTGCTGTAGTGAAAGTGTCAAGGATGTTCCACGTGGTGAAATGTCTTCACATTTCCAAAGGGTGTTTCCAATACTCCATGTCCATACTCTGCTATACTTTCAGCCCATCCATCTTCACTTCTTTAGCTTTTAACTTTTCAATTCAGTTTTTCATGTGATGCTCAGGATACAGTTAATATAATTTCACAAATGTGTAAGCTCCTGATGGGGAAGGTGCAGTAATTGTCTGAATTAACTCAGTTGTACTTCTAAGCTGTTATGTGTAGCAAATAATAAGAGGATAATTCTGCCAGTGTCTGCTGGCAGTTTAAGTGATGGCTTGGCCTGATGTGATGTTCCCCGTCTGGTGAATGTCAGAGTTGTCCAAGCTCAGGGTTTTGAGAACAAAGGATAAACTAAAATAACACACAGGAATGGTTCTGGTTCAGGTGTCTCCCACTGGGGGGTTCTGCAAGAGATGATTTCCCTCCTCACCTGCCATGGATTGCTTAATTGACATGTGATCTGAGAATCTTGGTCAGTATTGGTCTTGCTGCCACAAGCTTGAGGAATTTGTATCCTGAGCTTGGCTTGAAGGAAGTCACAGAATCATTAAGGTTGGAAAAGCCCCTCCCAGACCATCGAGTCCAACCCGTGCCTGACCCCCACCTTGTCCCCCAGCGCCATGTCCAGTTGTTCCTTGGACACCTCCAGGAGTGGGGACTCCACCAACTCCCTGGGCAGCCCCTTCCAAGGCCTGACCACCCTTTCCATGAAGAAATTCCTTCTGATGACCAACCTGACCCTCCCCTGGCACAGCTTGAGGACGTTTCCCCTTGTCTTGTCCCTTGTTCCCTGGGAGCAGAGCCTGACTTCCCCCGGCTCCCCCCTCCTGTCAGGGAGTTGCAGAGAGCCAGAAGGTCCCCCCTGAGCCTCCTTTTCTCCAGGCTGAGCCCCCCCAGCTCCCTCAGCTGCTCCTCATCAGATTTACCCTCTAAACTCTATTTGCTTATAAGTAAAACTTGAGTCTGGAGAATACTGGGATGGCTGTAAAGGACTCTGTGTTTCAGAACCACATACTGGAAAATACACAGTGCTGGGAGGCATCTGTGAAGTGAAACACCAGTGGCACTGCTCCAGGTTAGCACTGAAGTGATATCTTGTAGCATGCAGAACACTCAGCATTATGTTTGTTGTTCAGTGAGAAAACAAATCTTCTCTTCCTAAAACATAACATTTTTCAACTCACAGGAGCATTACATTTTTTTGCTAAAATGAGGTGTTTGTCCTGGAGAAGAGAAAGGACCTGATAGTAGCCTTTCAGTACTTACAGGGGCTACCAAGAGGACAAACCCTTGCTCTTAACAGTAGTGTGCAGTGGGAGGACAGGAGTCAACGGCCCCAAATTGACACCAGAGGTTCAGAATGGGGATGGGTAAACATGTTTTTTTCTCCCTGAGGACAGTCCATCAATGGAACAGTCTGCCCAGAGGGATTGTGCAACTTCCGTCTTCGGAGGTTTTCAGCTTCTGATGGGTTAAAGCCCTGAGCTATGGGTCTGCCCCCGTAGCTGTCCCAGCTTTTAAACACAGGAGGTTGATTTCATCAGGTTTCTAGCACCCTGCATTACTTCCATTCCTACTTTACAGCTTGGTGAAAACATAAGATCTATAATGAGGGTGAGGGGTGTTAGGCTTCCATCCTGGAGGAAACATTGGCACCATGCAGTGATATTTGCTGCATCTGGCCGCAGGCTGTGTCTGAGGTTAATCCCTAATGGAGAAGACCGCAAAAGGCAGATGTGCAAGGGGAATGCCTGACTTCAGGTTGTTCCTTTGTCAATTTTTCTTTTAAATTCTGTTTCGGGCAGGGTTTGTGATCTTTCACTTGGGTTTCCAGGCCAAAAGCAACCTTCTGCCAGTTGCTTCTACCTGCCATGGCAAGGAAAAGAAGTTTTTAATAGTGCGTATGGTGCCACTTTGAAGCTCTTTATTTCAGTGTTAGCCCATAGCTGGAGTTTTTGCAGATAGACAACTGTAGCCTCTCTGGTTACTGCATTCCACCTTCTCTGAGCAGGGCTTGTCTGCTTCGGAGAGAGTTTCCCTTGTGTACGACGTAGATTGCCCTGGGATCTTCCAGGTCTGAAGCTTCCCCGTCGATCTGCCAGTCCTGTTTATTATTTATTGTTATGGAAATTGTACCCTTGTGGTTTCTTCCTTGAAGTGAGTGACAGCCCAGACTTGATTTTTCACCCTACGCAGTGTTTGTGGTGTTGCAGTGAATAACTTGCTGGTAGTCTTGACAGATCCAGGGAATTTAAAAAAGCACAGAGAAGAAGAGAAGTATTTTCCATTCTGCTTTTGTACTGCAGAGACCAGGCAGAATTATTCATGTAGTCTTGACTTGTGGGTGTAAATATTTTGGGCTTTCAGGGAGAGACAAGCAGATACCTGAGAAGCTTTTGCTTCTCACCCTTGCTGTGGAAACCTCACACAGCTGTGTACATCTGCACTGTATGAGTCCAAGCTTGATCCAAGGAACTCTTCCAGGATCTTCCAGGGCTGAAGAGCTGGGACCTCGTTGTGCATTCTGTGTTGGGGTGGAAGGAGGGAGCAGCAATGGAGGACACTGGTACCTGGACTCACTCTGTGCAAAGATAGACTGATCTGGGAGTGGGCTCATGCCAGGAACCAGAGAGAGCACAGCCCAGGTATTCAGCTGGAAGTTGTCATGAAGTTTTCTGGCACAAATTGCTGATGGAAATGAGATGCCAGTGGTAAGGGATGATGCCAGCTAAAAAGAGGAGGGCAGAAACCCCTTGCATTATTCAGGAACCCCTCGATGTTAGTCAGGAGCATGAGCACCACTGTTCTTGGTAAATGTAGTCTGTAAATCCATGGGACCTGGTTTTGGTATGGAGTTCAATATATCAGACTTATTTTGCTGTTGAATTTGATTTCTGGACCTTATAACTGCAGAAGTAGTACTGTCTGGTTCATCAGGCAGCTTGAGGTGGGGTAGCCTGTTCCCTTCTGTATTGTAATTGTATTGCTTTACGAAGCTGGGTAGATTATGGCTGTAGGGACTAATTAATTGCAGCAGACTCTCATCTTATCCCAAGAAAACCCCTAGAGATTGATAGCAGGGTGGTAGCAAAGCCTGTTATGCTTGAAAAGTACAGCAACTTGTGACATGGAGAGGAAATGTGTGACATCTGTGCAGTGTGTTCCCAAAGCAAGGCATGAGTCATACTAGGACTTGTGAGGGAATGGCTCTGGACTAAAAAGTACAGAAGATGGTTTTATTCAACCCCTACTCTCTAATGATGAGAGCTGAAGACAATTCCTGTCTCTGCAAGAGTCGCTGTCAGGTGGGTTGAAAGTGTGGGTTCCTTTTCGCTGTGTTAATCTCTGTCCTAAATATAATTGCAGATTTGATCCAAAGAGGGCAGTGCAGCAGCTGAGAGCCTGTGGAGTGCTGGAGACCGTCCGGATCAGTGCAGCTGGATTCCCATCCAGGTACTGGGCTGGGAGTTTGCTGGGGTGTTGTGCTGCTGGTGTGATTTACTCAGCAAGTTCCTTATCCCGCATCCTTGGAAGTGCTGAAGGCCAGGTTGGACAAGGCTTGGAGCAACCTGGGTTAGTGGAAGGTGTCTGCCCGTGGCAGGGGAGTGGAACAAGATGAACTTTAAGGTCCCTTCCAACCCAAACCATTCTGTGATTACCTGAGGCGAAAGAGAGAGAGAAGGACACACTGGTGTTTTCAGGAAAAACAGTGTTTATTTAGATTGGTTTGTATCCAGGGTAGATTTTCTCCTTTTTATATTTTTTTTTTTTTTACAGTTTGCCAAACTCCCGTTAGGTCCTGGGTTCCTCAAATCTAAGAGATTCATTATCAGGCAAAGAGCTGCAAAGTGAGGCTGACAGAGGGTGTGTTGTGCTGTGCCCAGCGTTTCAGCTGGTGCTTTCAGTTTGGTCCTGAGATGTAATTTGATGTGGTGAAATACCTGAAAAAGCTGATGCCTGGCAGATAAAGGAATCCAGCTCTGATCCCAAATGGAGGTGGACATCAAGTAGCAAAACAACAGCTTTGTATCCTCTGCACCCATCTTGCCTGGAAGCAAGCGTTGCCCTAGAGGACTTCTTCCCTGCTTGCCTGAAGCTCCTTCCACTGTACAATTTACTTTCCTTTGTGAGTTTTTTTTTTCCTGGCATCAGACAGCTGTTGCAATTGTCATTTCAGAAAAAAAAAAAAGATTGTACTTGCAGAGAAAGAAAATAAGGATTGTAAATTATTACTATAGACTTCCGCACTGCACATCCAAAGCATGCAAGGCTTCAAAATCTTGCATCATAAAAAGGAAGGGTTATGGTTGGTGTGGCTCTTGCTGATTGTGTGATATAAAATTCAAAAGAGGTTTTTAAGGCATAATAAATCAGGAAACATAAACTATAAATAAGCCCTGAAGATGACAAGGGCAAATAATTCTAAAAATGCATCAATTGCGTTTTAGTGCCAAGCAGCTTTGTGTTCATGTCAGCAAAGCCATCAGCCTTTTTATATGGGACAAAGAAGTTATAAATATGCTCAGTGAAGAGTCGACTGAGCGTGGTGATGTGCACCATGAGAAACTCCCTGCCCTGGACTCTGGGGAGGACTCTGCTACTCTCATCTCCTGCAAAGCTGCAAAGACCTTCTGGCAATTGATGGCACTTGTCTGCATGTTGAGATCAGGTGGCTCTGCTGCACTTCTCCTGTGTTGGCCAGTGACCTCTATGGACAGACACAAACTGGTGATGGGCTTCTTCTTGACCAGCTGAGCCCAAATACTTAAGGAGGAAAAAAGGAAAAAAAGAAGAAGAAATTTTTCATAGAAACCAATTCCTCTCTTTCCTCTGCCAGTGTGGAAGGGTGGCAGAGGTATGTGGAGATTTAGGTCCTCATTGTGGGGGTCTGACCCTGTTAGAAAACCCAGAATCACCTTTGGGTCTTATCTCAGACGTCTCGAAGGTACTTGTGGAAGTAACTAATAAAAAGTTGCTCCTAAATTTCATGATCTCTAAGCCACAGCGAGGAATTAAAAACCAGCCCATGGGTCATCTTTTATTATTATTTTTGTTGCAGGGCCAAATCTGTCTGTCCTCTTGCAGTGAAAACCCTAAAGCAATGAAAAAGCTGGGTTTTTTACATGGAAGAGGCCACTGGAAGGCAGCTCTGTGCTAAGCAAGCAGTCACACTCCCCAGTGCAGGTTTGGGGAGCTCTAACTTGAGGGTTGTCCACGAGTTTTGTTACTGGTCTTGTCACGGCTTCAGGGATACCCTGTTCCTCTCCATTCATAACTATACTACAGACTTTTATCCTTTTTCTACTCATCTAGCTGCAGTTTAGACCCTACAGCACTAAAATCAATGTATAATTAGTAACTGTGGAGGGGGAAAGGAGGGGAGAAACCACTGCAAATCCTGGAGACCAGCCAGGATCTATTTACAGCAAATAATTGATTGTTGCAAAGACCCCTCCACCCTGAAAAACTCAAAAGTGATACTCTCAGCTCTGCTTGTGTGCTTTTGGTTATGAGATCTTTTCCCAGTGTTGCCCGTAACCAGAAGAAACACAAACCAACAGAGTGCCGGTTTATGCGGTGCTTTATTCGGGGCCCCGGGAACCTGAGGACTAGCGTCCAAAGTCAGGATTCCGAAGACCCTCATTTTCAGTTCAGCTTTTATACACAAACAAGTTTACGTGCAGTTTCCACGGCAAAACAGTTACAGTTTCCACAGCAAACCAGGTGCAGTTGCAAACAAGCTCATACTTCATACTGATAACAATTAATAATCATCTACTCCAATCATAAATCTGCTTAAGTTGTCTTATCCCTAGAAACTGTTTAACAGACCTTAACCACATCCTAGGTAACAAATCGTTGCATACATGCCTGACTAGATCCTTTGATTATGGTTTCCACTTCACACACAAACAAAGTTGCTTTCTAGGCCTACTCTTCTACTAAGCCTTAGCCATTCTACTACTAATTTAAATTGCTGTGCAACATGTCCCCCCTTTTGAGCATTCTTCAGGCTTTGCTTGCAAGGATGCTCAAATACAGCAATCTTCAGGCTGTAGTTTCTTGGTAGGTAGGAGGTGATTCATTTTGCGGTGAGATTATTTCTTTCCTTGTAATAGCTTTCATGATGCGTCTCGTATGTTGACCTTCTTTTACAATCATTCCTAAAAGACACTTGTAAACAGTTATGGCTATGACAATAATTATTACAATTAATATTCCGTACTGGATAACAGAAGATATCCATCCTGACACATGAAGACCTAGGGAGCTGAATAATTGCCCTATCCAATTATGTTCTGCTTCTTTTTGCAGTTCATGAACATTCTCGTCAATTTGTTCTAATTGGCTAATATCTTTTTCTACTTCTTGAGTGACATTTGGGATGTGTACACAACAATGCTCGTCCTTTGCATGCAGGTAGCCGCAAACTCCATGTTCCTTAAGTAATATTAAATCTAATGCCATGCGGTTTTGTATGGTCATTCTAGAGGTGGCTTGTAATTGTAAATTTAGATCTTTAAATCCCTTCTTAGTGACTGCTGCTAACCTTTCAGTTTGTCCCATTAATTTAAACAACATTTCTCTGTTCCGGTATGTTGAGATTGGTGCGAATAGAGACTCTAATGCCCATCCAAATTTAACTCCTGCTGATGGTTCATGCCAATCTCCCAACCTCAGGTCATCAATATCTTTACTAACTTCTCTTTTCCTCCGTGGTTGTATTTCCATTGATGTTAACTTATTTTGCTTCCAGAATGGACAGAGAGTAGGTATCCCTAGTGTGACAGGTACAACCGGACCATTTATGGGTATGTGGGTGGTCCACTGGCCATGTCCCATTACCCATACCAAATTTCCTGGGCTCCTAACTGTAGTGGTACGGCAATCAATGTTATTCACAGATCCTTTAATCGTATGATTATATCCCCGACATTCACATCCCAACTGCAAGAGTGTTTTGACTGGCGTTAAACCTATCTCATCGTCTGGGGTATCACATGTGTATATTCGAGTACAATTCCAATCCTCTTTTGTACGTGTTTCTGTCCTCCAATTATGATTCCCTCTATTTCCTATAGAATAAGTTTGATTCTTTTTCCCTTTCCAGTGAATGCACCACTGTACTTTTCCAATGTAACTATATGTCTCTAGTAAGCTGGGTCCCCAAATTGTTTGCCATTCCTCCATGGTTGTAGAACTTGTAGTATTTTGACACACTTCTTCTTGCTTTTCTCGTTTTATTCGAACTTGTACTTTAAAACATGGGTATGTTACTGAACCTGAGATCAAACAATTTCCTTCTAACTTTCCAATTTTCTCACTTTCTACCCAGCGAAAATATCCAGGCATCTGTTCACATTGTTTTTTAGTCACTTTGTCTCTCAATAAACATGCATCTGTCATTTCATTCCATGTTCTAGTTACAAATCTGCAATTCCATGTAGTATTCTTAAACATTCTAGGGATTTCCGGTACTGGAATTATTCCCCATGGGATTGGGTCTCCTGCAGCATGAGGCATAGGGAGACATGCAGTGATTTTTGTGACATTCTGTGCTTTCCCAAAATCACGAATTAAGCCTACAACTAGGTTTTCTTGTTCTACTTCTCTATCTGGAATCTGCAGGTTACTTACTTGTCGGGTTATTCTTTCAGTCCTTACGTGGACGACAGTAATTCCAGTCTCCCACCAGTCATCTCTACTTATCCAGCAAGTATACTGGCCCTCATCTTCTCTTCTTTGAATTTCTTTGATTTTCAAAACTATTGTATCTGCTCTCTTCTCAATCTGATGTCTTTTTCCAACTTTCAAGTTCTGTCCCTTAAACCACCACCCATATTCAAAATACTGTCCTTCTGGAATTTTGCAGCTTAGAATCAGATCTCTTCCTTCCTGGGCCGAATAAACACTATGTTCTGGTCTAACTCTTATTCCTTGATGTGGTACGGCTACTGCTGTCCTTATCCCGTGATCTTTTTCTTCTCCACATGAGACTACACAAAGAAATGTACCTTCTGTCTTTCCTACTCTGGGATTAGAAATATTCAGCCACCCTTTGCCTCCCTTACTATTTGACCACCAGCTAACTCCTTGACTTTGTGATTCCCAAGATTGATTTGCCACATTTAATTTCCACCACTTTACTTTAACTGATTTTCGACAATCATCAAATTGGAAGGTACAATTGATTTTTAAAGGAGGACCATCCCACATGTCTGATTGTTTCCTAGTGGGTAAAACTCGCACTTTGGTCACCGTCTTCTGAGTCGTGTTTATTGTTTGTATTTCTATATGTCCATAATCAAAACTTTCCCAAATCCAAACTACACACATATATGTCCCTTCCATAGCTTTGTACACTTTGGGTACCTGCAGAACGGTGTAACCTTTTTGTTGTGTAGCATCCCAAACTGTTGTCACTCCTTCTGTCATGATTTGGTCTTGATCTCTCCATCTCCACTTGACATGGACATCTCTTAATTCAGCTCCCTGGTCATCTGAAAATAGACAAGTTAAGTTTACATCAGTGTGTTCTGGTACAAATAAATAAGGATCCGGGGTCTCAATTCTCACGGTGGTTTCTGCTAAACTTATCAACCCCAGGAACACTATGATCCTCAATGGTTGGCTCGAAATACCATTCTTGTGGGTGAGAGAGGTTCTACCGACCACGAAACTGGAACCTTCTTGACCCGAGTATAATGGATCCAGCTGTCGATTCCTTCGACTTTCACTGCCGTGTAGGTCGTCATGATCACCTGGCGAGGACCGTCCCATGTTTCTTTCAGCGGCTCCACCGACCAGTTTCTCACGTAGACATGATCTCCCGGAGAAATGTCATGCACTGGATTCTCCAGGGGCAAAGGTCGATTCCACTGCAACGCTCCTCTGAGGGCTGTGAGAGTCTTATTTAAAGATAACACATAATTAAACACTGCTTGATCACCTACTATATGAGGATCCCCTTGGTAAGTAGCTGCATGATAAGGTTTGCCATATAATATTTCATATGGACTTACTCCTATTCTCTCCCTTGGTTTGATCCTAATTCTCAACAAGGCAATGGATACTGCTTGGGGCCACGGAATCTTTGCCTCCTGACAAATTTTCTTCAATTGACCTTTCAATGTCTGATTCATCCTTTCAACTTGTCCACTAGACTGTGGTCTCCATGGTGTATGGAGATTCCATGTTATCCCTAATACAACTGACACATCTTGTACTATTCCTGCTATAAAGTGCGGTCCTCGATCAGAGGACAACCCTAGGGGAACTCCAAATCTTGGGATGATTTCCCTCAAGAGAGTTTTTACCACTTCCTTTGCTTGATTAGTCCTACAGGGAAAAGCCTCAGGCCATCCTGAAAAGGTGCAGACATATACTAACAAATACTTATAGGATTGGGCTTTAGGCAACTCAGAAAAATCTACTTGCCAGTAATCTCCCGGTAACTGACCTATCTGTAATTTTCCCATCTGCACTTGCTTTCTGACTACTGGGTTATTCTTTATGCACATAGGACACATTGCATTTACCCTTTTTGCCAATGTTAACATCTGGTTTGAGAAAACCTCATTTTTCAAAAATTTTACCAATGCTTCTGCACCCCAGTGGCACTTATTGTGTTCTGTTTCAAGCACTGCTTTCATTATTCTGACAGGTAGAATCACTTGTCCTATGGGGGAAATGTACCACCCTTTAACATTTTTCTTTGCATTTGTCATTTGAGCTAATTTCTCATCTTCCTGTGAATAATGTGGTTTTTCTTCCATATATGGTATTGCTGGATTATTTTGAACAGGCAAAAGAACCATCTGAGTCCATACTTCTCTCGCGGCTTGCTTAGCCGCTTGGTCAGCCTGTCGATTACCTCGAAATTCTCGTCCGGGATCTCTCTGATGTCCTTTAACATGCATTATTGCCACTGCTGAGGGCTTGTGTATTGCCTCTAGCAATTGTAAAATTTCTTCCCGATGTTTAATCGTTGTCCCTTGAGAGGTAAGAAGTCGTCTCTCTTTCCAGAGTGCTCCGTGAACATGAACTACCCCAAAAGCATATTTGGAGTCAGTCCATATGTTAACTCTCTTTCTTTGGCTTAATATTAAAGCTCTCACCAATGCCCATATTTCGGCCTTTTGTGCAGACGTACCTGGGGGTAGTGCATTTGCTTCTATCACTTCTTGTTCAGTGACCACTGCATACCCAGCATACCTGGTGCCGTTCTCCACAAAGCTAGATCCATCAGTGAACAATTCCCAGTCAGGATCTGCCAATGGCTCGTCCTTCAAGTCTCTTCTGCTCGCGTAGACTTGTTCAATGGTCTCTACACAGTCATGCTCCAGAATACCTTCTTCCTGTGTAGACCTAAGGAATTCTGCTGGGTTGAGATGGTTAGTGATTTTCAGTTCAACATCATCTTGTTCTCTCAACAAAGCTTGATACTGTAACATACGGCTAGATGAAAGCCAATGCCCCCCTTTTTGTTCCAAAACTGCTATGACCATGTGGGGTACGTACACTACCATGTGTTTTCCCAGAGTCAATTTTCGTGCTTCTTGTATTAAAATAACCGTTGCTGCCACAGCTCTGAGACACCCTGGCCATCCCCCACTTACTGCGTCTAGCCGTTTGGAGAAATATCCAACCGGTCTTTTCCAGGATCCTAGATGCTGAGTGAGGACTCCTAGAGCCATTCGTTGTCTCTCGCAGACATAGAGCTGAAACTCCTTGGTTGGGTCCGGCAGTCCCAGGGCAGGTGCTTCTTGGAGGGCTCTCTTCAATTCCTGGAACGCTTTCTCTTGCTTCGTCCCCCAGGTCAGCTTGGGCTCCTTTACTGCTTCATATAAAGGTCTGGCAGTTAGTCCAAAGTTGGGGATCCACGGTCTGCACCATCCGACCATTTCTAAAAAAGATCTCAGTTCCTGATTATTTCGGGGCATAGGGATAACACATATTGCTTGAACCCTATTTGTTCCTAAGCGCCGGGTTCCTTGGGAGATTTCACATCCCAGATAAATAACTTTCTGGTTTACTAGTTGTGCTTTTTCTTTTGAGACTCGATAGCCTGCTTGCCCCAGCATGTTTAACAGTTCAATGGTTAATTGACGGCAGAGTCCCTGCTCTGTATTTCTCAAAAAGATGTCATCAACATATTGAAGTATTATATATGAAAAAAAGAGATTCTTTTACCTGAGTAGTCTTCCATTCTTCAAGTTCCTTTGCTAACTGATTACCAAATATCGTGGGTGAGCATTTGAATCCTTGTGGTAATCGAGTCCAAGTAAGTTGTAGCTTCCGTCCAGTCTCTGGGTTCTCCCATTCAAAGGCAAAGATTTTCCAACTTTCCCGTGCCAGTGGTATGCAGAAGAAGGCATCCTTTAGATCAATCACTGTAAACCACTGAAATCTCTCAGAAACAGATGTTAACAAGGTGTAAGGGTTAGCTACAATGTCTTTTGTGATACGGTTTACTGCTCTAAAGTCTTGCACTAACCTATACTTACCATTTTGCTTTTTATCGGAAAAATGGGAGTATTAAATTCTGACTCACATTCTTTTAATATCCCTAAAATTAAAAACTATGTGATCATAGGAGCTATTCCTTTCCTGGCTTCTAAACTAATTAGGTATTGTCGCACTCTAACGGGTTGTGCTCCTTCTTTCTCTTAAAGAAAACAAGTAAATATCTTCACTGGCTTCTAACTATATATCGGCATAAAAACTCTCCTCTGGACAAAAGGGTTTTTATTGCTAACATACCAAGTTAAAAGTTCACAGACCCAATTCTTAAAAGTACCATATACGGGCCAGTAAGTATTATTTCCTATTCTTCTACCTCCCCACACTTCAATACAATACTTAATCATTTTCTCCTTTGATCTTCTATAAGTGCTGGAATAACAACTCCGGTTCTCTAAGAGGTTCCCCAAGGGACTTTCAGGGGGAATCCTCAGCGTCCTAGCCTCAAAGTCACCTTTTACTAATCTTCTTATCAGAGGGCTATTTGTAATCTCTCTCTGAGGTTCCTCTTTTTTTTTACTACTTTTAACTTCATTCAGAGGTTCCTCTTTTAACTTCTCTAAAAAGGCTGAAAGAGATTCTCCCCTATTCCGTCCCACCGAGCACAGCCCTGACCAGTCCAGCGTCCCTGGTATCTCACTTTGCACTCCCTCCACCAACAATTCTCGGTAATTTCTCAACTTTCTACAATCTCCAGACACATTTGGATCCCACCCGGGATCCTCCCGCGGCACAAAATCATCCACTGCTCCCCCCGCCGCCCGGGACAGAGTTCGCATTCTTTCTTTCGCTCTTTCCACCATCACTCTTAATACCATTTCTTTTTCAGTTGAATCTAGAATTGTATCTAACAATACCTGTAAATCATTCCAGTCTAGATTTTGAGTTTTTCTAACCATTTTTATAATACAAGTCACCTGCTCTGTATTTTCTCTGTATGACCCAGCTGACTGTTTCCAAATTAATATATCATTAGGTAAAAAAGAAACTTTCATCATGACTTTTCTCCCGTCCGCTCCAACTGCTTCCCGCGAAGGGGCCATTAATCTCGGGGGTGAAAGCGAAACTTCCCTCAACTTTCCCCCCCCTCGCTGTCTTTCTCTACTCCTCCCTCGTTCTCTTCGTGCTCTCCGCGTTCGTTCAGCTAAAGGAGTTCTATCAAAATCACATTCTCCCTTTTCTCTTTTCTTCCTCATCCGAGGACGATTCTAGCGGGGGCATGGTGGGTGATTGTGCCCTCACACGTGAAGGGAGACTATCTCCCGAGGGCGCACTTGGAGTTCTACCGGGGGAGACTAACAAAGACACATCCTCCTCTGGTTCTGAAAACCGTATTTTCCGCTCATATTTATCATCCAATCCTTTCAATATCATTATACTCCGCTCTTGACATTCTTTACATTTATCATCCTCCAGTTTCAGTTCTTTCAACACTAAAATACCACATTCCTTTTGCCACTCAGTGTTATGTTCTAAATAATAAAACAAGTCCAGATACGGTATTTCATCCCACTTCTCATTCTCTCGTAAATATCGCATCAAAGGGGTTATAATTTCCAAAGTCAATGAACCATTTCTAGGCCACTGCATTCCTTCTGTCTCATATTGAGGCCATACATTATTACAGTAATCAATCAATTGTTTCTTGTTTAACTCCTGTCCAAAATTTCCCTCCTTCCAATGTTTTAACAAGCAACCAAGCGGAGAATCGCTAGGGATATCTTTTTCTGCACAAGATAATGCTCTAAAAGTTTTAAACGGCATCATACCGGCTCACACATACACCGTAATGTGAATTCCTCAAATTCACAATACACCACAATGTGAATTCCTCAAATTCACAATACCACAACCATACAAAACAATACGTTTAACGACCAACACGACAACACAACAACATAAACCAAGTACATATTCCAAAACCAAAACCAAAACCAACTCGCCAATTCTCCCTCTGAGTGGCGAGTGCTGGTACAGCGCGGCTTTCGCTACGTCTTACGACCAGCGCCTAGGCTTCCCAACCGAGGTACCTTTAGCCCAACCTAGCGGGTAACTTGCGGTCCCGTCTTATAGGCAGGCTCCCAACCAACAAACCTAAAAGAATAAAGCACCTCCGGGCTTACCTGGATGGGTTGTCCGGCGGGCGCGGGGTCGGGCACGGGTCGATGTCTCCCCAGAAATCACCTGGTTGCCGGCGTGGAGTAGATCAGCGCGTGAGCCGCCCCAGCTACCCCCGGAGTCCCCAGTCTGGGTCGCCAGAAAACTGTTGCCCGTAACCAGAAGAAACACAAACCAACAGAGTGCCGGTTTATGCGGTGCTTTATTCGGGGCCCCGGGAACCTGAGGACTAGCGTCCAAAGTCAGGATTCCGAAGACCCTCATTTTCAGTTCAGCTTTTATACACAAACAAGTTTACTTGCAGTTTCCACGGCAAAACAGTTACAGTTTCCACAGCAAACCAGGTGCAGTTGCAAACAAGCTCATACTTCATACTGATAACAATTAATAATCATCTACTCCAATCATAAATCTGCTTAAGTTGTCTTATCCCTAGAAACTGTTTAACAGACCTTAACCACATCCTAGGTAACAAATCGTTGCATACATGCCTGACTAGATCCTTTGATTATGGTTTCCACTTCACACACAAACAAAGTTGCTTTCTAGGCCTACTCTTCTACTAAGCCTTAGCCATTCTACTACTAATTTAAATTGCTGTGCAACACCAGGACACTGAGAATACATAACTCTTCAATCACTGCAACTTGTCACCTCTTGTTCTTCGTGCGGGGGGGGGAGGAAGTGTAAATTCCTATTTCAGCCTTTTAGAGTGACCTTCTCCAGTGTTTGTGATGCTTCAAGGACAGATTTTTTTCGTGTATTTTAGTGTTTCCAGAAGATAATTGTATATAGGAACAGCTCTGCACTAAATAAAATACTCACTTTGGGCTTTGGTAGCTCTTCACCCTCATTGGTCATAAAATTCCAGTCTTGAAAATCCAGACCCAGGAGCTGGACAACATCCTTGAAAGACTGTGAATAATCTGTGTATTTGAATTGGCTTTATAAACCAGCTTGGGAAAAGGTGCTTCAACAGGATCCTGTTTTGTGGGAAATAGTTGCTTCTGCATTTTTATGTGCCATCTGTAAGTGAGCATTGATTATTCCTCTGTATTTCCTTATATTTTGAGATAAGTCGATTTATATTGGTTGATTAATGATAAAACCAAAAAGGAGAGTCATTGCTTTAAATTTAAATCCCATGTGAAGGCTCTAAATTTAAACCACTTTAAAATAATAAGAGAAAACTTGATCTTTGTGAGTTTTGTTTCACTTTGGTGTAAGCAATTTACCTTTAAAGCAATAGGGAATTTTCAAATTTGTTTATCTCAATCTAAGTTTTATTACAGAAGCTGTAGAAAATGTTTACTTTCATCCTGTAGTGCTTACATCTGAATATTTTCCATCATACTGTTACAAGAGTAGCTTTTGAGAGTGATGTGGCTTTGGGTCAGAGATCTCTGGATAAAGACACCTGCTCCAATTTCACATCAACTCCTTCATGGGTTGAAGAATTCAATGTTTTGAGTATTTAATAATTTATTTTTTTTTACCTTTAGGAAAATAAATAATTTTTTAATGTAGGTTGTAGTTCCTCAGCCCGTGTGAGTCACTGGAAGATGAAGCCATGTGCTCCCCACTTCGGTTGCACCTGGTTTTATTTTGTCATTTCCATGGTGCACTGCACTCTGCCTCTGTCTCAAGTAAATTGAAAATGTATCATTTGGTTTGAAATGCTGCACAGCAGTTAAGAAATTTATTTGTTAGCATGTACATAAATGGCTGTGATGAATGGGCTGTCTGAGGTGTGCAGATAGTAAATCTATCATCAGCTTCCCAGGGTAAAGCGTGGAAGATGTCTCTATGCTATACAACCATTCATCTTCTTTATAGAAACTGGCTGCATAAAGATGAGTCTGTAGAGAATTAATTGGTGTGGATCTCCATGAATCACAAAATACTCTCTAAAATAAGTTTTCAACTTGCGTTTTATCAAAACTCTACATTTTTCTTCTTGCTGGTTCTGGTGGTTTCCAGTCAGTGCTCCAACAGTGACAGTCTCCCACTGTGCCATCACTCTGAATAACCTCACCACTGCAGCCTCTCTGAAATACTGTTGTTGTAATTGTTATGTATTTATAGTTTAAGCATTCTTGGCATTTGGCTGCTTCCCCTGGTCCCCGAATCTGACTGTCAGATGCAGCATTTTTGTATCAATTCAGTGTGAAATCCCAGCTGCTAAACTCCATAAACATTAAACATTTATAATTGAAACCTATCATGGGCATCCTTGGATATAGAGGGTTTTTTTAATATAATGTGCCTTTAGCTGTCATTTCAAAGTAACAAAACCTATAAATGACTGTGGCTACCAGCAGTTCTGTTTGCCCACTCCCAAAAAAAGGTGTAATGTGTAAATGGAGGGGTTTTTCCCCTCCTTGTTCTTCTCTTTGAATATATTCCAGCTAATTTCAAGCCAGGCCAGCCTGCATGTTTTAGAGCTAATTGAAAGGCAAATCTGTTCTGCTGCAATAAACAAGACAAGCGAAATTTTCTCCCTGAGCCACAGTTTTAAAAATAATTTCATGTCAAATCTTGGCTGAGAGATTCAACCTGCATCCTCCTAAACAGGCTTTGGATCCTATGGAAAGATCACTGTAGTCCAGCTCCTCACTGCTTAAAATTTTGGCCCATTCAGTGGAAGGTACCACGTGGTGCTGGCAGGATTTCTTACACAAAAGGGATTGCTCAGCACATGGGATGGTCTTGGGTGATGGGGTTAATTAATTTAGTTACCCTGAATGGAAACATTTTACATTAAGTTATTTTAGGCTACCAAAAGAAAACCATAATATGGTCAAGAGTTTGAAGCTTTGCTGACTTATTATACTCCTTTCAGCTCTTAATTCAGCACACAGCTGACATAACACTGCTGTAATCACCCTGAAACAATGAGTTGGAGATATTTTGGGCAGTTGCTGACTGCTTGGAGAGATGCTTTTCAGAGGCTTCCTTAGAATGTCACCCCTGGTTTCTTACACAAGCCCTGCCTTTAATTTGAGGTTGTAATAAACCCAGCTTGGCTCTGCAGCAGAGGGGCTGTGCTTGGGTTCATAACCCCTTGATTTGGGGCAGGAGCAGCCCCTTTGCTCTGTACCTTGTAGTTTTCTATAAAACATCCCAATCTTGTTCTTTAAAATACAGAAAAAAGAATAAATTTATTTAATAAAAATTAAAGTAAATAAAAACAAAAATTAATAAAAATAAAATTAATTTGCAATGTGTGTTATGGCTTATTCCTTCTTTATAATTCCTGTAAAATGACAAAGAAATTGCTGGGATGACCAAGCGTCCTGCTCCCGGCCAAGCCCTTGAGCATCCTCCTTGCTGCTGGAGCCCAGGGAGGACTTTTTTCCACAGGCATAAGTTATTTTCCTGTATCCTTCCATTCCTTTTATTGCCTTTTCCCCTTAGTGACCTGTGCTAACTTCAAAGCAAAACATAGATGTTTGAGGTTTGGTTGTGCTTGATCTCAGTCTCAAAATTATTCTTTTTTTTACCTTGGGAAAGTTTGAGAAGCATCTGTCCAGTTCTTCATGTCTCCTTCTTCGTCTTTCTCAGCTGTGCAGGTATAAAAATCCTCCTAATTCCAGCTCTTTCTCTGCACTACCTATCTGGATCTTATAACTTGACAATTATATGGAATCGTATTTATTCAGTGGCCCTTGGTGGTTTCCAGGTCCCAGCACTGAGCCATGCCCATGCTGTGTGTTGCCATGCCCATGCTGTGTGTTGCGTGGCAGCATCCTGAAAACCTGTGATCTGCATTTTTTTATTTAATACCTGTCAGCAAGTTGAACTGAAGTGTAACCTTCCCATAATGTCTCCCAGCCTGCTAAGCTGTGGGGTGACATGGCACATCCTTTGTCCCCGACTGGGAATCAGTGTGTGGTTTAGCAGGTGGGAGACAAGTTTTCTCCTTTTTCTTTTTTTTCTGAAAACGAAAGTGTTGAACCTAAAGAAGAGACGTATATATGTGCAGAAGAATAATTTAAAGTGAGCTTCAGCATTTCTGCACCGGTGAGCTCTCCCTTGCAGGGGTGGGGGATCATGTTTGCTTCTCCCGAAGCACGTTGTTGTAAGGAAATTTTATACAGCTTTGAGCCTCAAGAGGTTCAGTGAGGCATGTTACATTAAACCTGAGTGCTTTAATTGTTCCTTTCTCCGGGGAGGATCCTGTAACAGCACCTATGAGCCCCTGCAGCTTTCTTTTGCTTGTGAACTGGGATGGCAAATATTCCAGCCAAACTCCTGATGGACCAGCTGAGCCCCAGCCAGGCAGGGATTTTGTGTTGATACTCCATGGACAATAGCACAAGCAGTGTTATCTCAGGGCTGTCATCTCCTGCTGAATCAGCAAGGATGGTGAGAGCGTGAGTTCTGTGCTGTGGATGTGCAGCACTGGGCTGGGAACCTCTGGGAGATGTGAATAGAGGACTGTGGACACCACCAGCCCAGATAAACACCTGGGCAGCAATCACTGAGTGTATTCCCTGCCACTTCCAATATCTCATGTGAGACTTACTCCTAAAAAGTGAGTCATTTATGTTCAAGATGGACTCAAATGGAAACACGTGGAAAATCAATTTTTGCCACGTTGTGAAATGAGAGCAACGGGCTCCGAAGAAAGACCCATTATATAGTGACTTATGATCTATTTTTAAGGAATTCCTGCAGGTGCCTGACTCCTGCTTGAGAGTGGCTGCGGGATCTCCCTCTCTTTCTCGATGCTGGAAGATGATGGATTTTGCTTTCTGCCCAGCTTGGACCTGTGCCCTCAGTTTCTGGTGTTGCCTCTTCACCATCTGCTCTTACTGGAGGAACCTGGGTGGCACCTGTAGGATGATTTTTTTCGGCAAATAGTAGCAGTTCATAATATCAGCACCTAAACTGACTTTTTTTCCCCTGATCAAGCTCTCCCTGGCTTGAGCAATACCTCAGCCAGGCAGGATGTCTCCAGCATCGTGTGCTTGGCTGGGTGCCTCGGGCACTGCATGCTCTGCTTCTCCTCTCAGGTTTGATTTGGAGCTGTGTAAACCTCAGACGTGCTTAAAATGAAAATGGGTTTTATTTGCACAAAGCAAAGTGGGAAATGTAATTATAAAACCGAGGCACTGGGAAAGCAAAGAGAAAGCGAGTTCAGGCTTAAACCCTACAGGACACAAAGCTCATAGTCTTGCATAATCTTTGTGTTCAGTTTTCATCCCAGAGAGAGCTCCTCATAGCTGGTATCTTAGGTTTTTTGTTGACAATCCAGTACTTTTGGTCATTTGAAGGTGGGATGGGGATTAAATCAGCGCTAAATCTGGATGCTCCAGAACTAATCTGAGCAATCCGAGTATTGGAAATCCTCTCACGACAGTTTCCCTCATTCCTCTGTCTCCAGGAGCTCTCCACCTTACCTTTGGCTTCAGGTGCAGTACGGAGCATTCCCTAGTTTTTGCCAGTCCCATATTCTTTGCCAGTTGTGTCCATGCAGGAGTTGCATGTTGCTTCCCAATCCTTATCAGTCCATTTTTTTCCCTTTTTCTCCGTTCTGTTTGCAAACACTTTCTTCTACTGTACTCTTTCAATTAGACTATCGCTTTTAATCAGACTGGCTTTCTTCCCCCGACTGCATTTTCTGAAGTGACATGAAACTGTGTTTTGGTCGTGTATTTTGGAATAAGCAATATGCCTGTCTAAGTAAATACCCCATCTTCCAATCTTCAAGATGTTTCATGAGAGGTATCTGCAGCTGATAGCTGATGATTGTGCAGGTCCTTTGTTTTATGGAGTGTTTTATAGAGCTGGCAGCCTTGGCTGCTTGGGTGGTGTGGTGTCTCGCCCAGCCCCACCACTGCAGACTAGCCAAGGATAAGGACCTACCACGAGCATCACTCTGGGCATTTACAATTTATTTTTCCTTTCCGCCCGCTCCTCTCTTAATCTCTAGAAGTGGAAAATTAGGAAGAATTTAGTGTAATGACACAAAAAATACAGGCGTTTATGGGGCTGCTGGGTGCAGGAGGTGTTTATAGCAGCTCTTCATGCAGTGTGTTCTCATCCTGGCTGCCACAGCATCCATGTGGGTGAGGATCAGGCTCACAGGTGGTTGAGTAAGGGCAGGAACCAAATTCTCTGCAATTCTCTCCCTTTGATGTTTGTTATTTTTTTAAAATAACGATGACCGCTCTGGACATCACTGGAAAAGCCTGATGTTTTAATTAAGAACTCAGGTTTTGAGGGCATTTATAACTCACTATGTTAAATTACAGAAGACTGAAACTTGGCAGATGCTGAAGCAATTTCAGGATCCCAGTCTGCAGGCTCTTCATCTAACAGGAGCAGCAGGAGATGTTATTTCCTAGCAGTAGGATGCAGTGCTCTAATTCCTTCAATTAGTGTTGCCTGTTTGGAAGCTTCGCTGCTGGTGACAGTGAGGCATCTTCCAAGGGGCTGGCTTTGTCTTTTCAGCATCAAAAGATTTTATGTTTGTTTCCAGGGCCTATATCACAGACCTCAAGGTGGAGCAGTTAATGAATTAATGTGTTGTAATCAATATTCAGCAAAATTTGGAAACACAAAATAAAAAAGCATATCTTTTTAATTCATTCTCCGTGACTATCAAGATTGCTTTTTTTCGGCCAGTCAGAACATACATGATTTCTCCAAAATTATCATCTCCTTCCTGAAGGGAACGGAGTTGTTGCATTTGAGTGGTAAAGTGCAGCAGACTGGGAAGCACATCAGGAGGACTGAAAACAAGGTGATCTGTGGCCTTTCTGTTCCAGGCTAGAAAGGCCCTGATAAGGTCATTCAGTGACTGAGAGTGAGGGTGAGGTTGAGGGTGACCAAGCTCCTTTCAGGTGTCTTTGATCCATTCTGTGGGTAGTGGTGAGAGATCCCCCAAAATATGAGTTCCATATTTTGACTCACCTATGACTCCAAACGCTTTATTTTAGGGAAATATTGCCAAGCATGCAGACTAATCCAGTGCATGCTTTGCTTTCAGGTGGTCCTACCACGACTTTTTAAAGAGGTATCGTGTGCTTATGAAGAAGACAGACCTCGCTAAGAACGACAAGAAGCAGATCTGTAAGACCCTGTTGGAAGACCTCATTAAGGTGAGCTGGGACCAGATCTTTGGCAGTGATTTTAACAGCGCAGAAGTTGGTGGCCTTCGTGTGCGCTGAAGTTGCTGCTCCTGCTCCAGCTTCACCTGCTGCTTGTGCAGGTGCTTCTTCATCCCGGGCAGCCTGGGGATTTTTTCCAAAATGAGATAATCTTGCAAGGAGGCAGAGGGAGCAAGCGTGACATGGGATCTCATGGTTGTGGTCAAGATGCACGTACCATTCCAGTGCTGGTGAAGTCCTGAGTTTGCTGTCACTGGCTGGACATGATCAACTGGCCACTTTTTAAAAATGTGACATCCCAACCCCTCCTTCTGTTTTTGGCTAGCCATAGCTGGAGCATGTGTTAGAGCTCCAGCTTGGGACAACATCATGAACCTTAATGAATCATTAAATTACTCTTTGCCTTAACGAGTAAGAGAAAAGTGCAATAAATGCCTTATCTTGATGTATGGGAGACTTGTAATAGCCCTATGTGGAAAAAGCATCCCATAGATTGGGATTCTTTTCCCATAAGCAAATTGGAAGTTTTTGCCCCCTCTCCTTACCAAAACCTTGCCGCTCCTCCGTGCTTTATTTTTAAATAGCAAATGTGCACGCAGAGGTTTCTTGCTGTTGGGTAGCCCCAAATTTGCACAACACCTTAGCCAGGTTTTAATGTTTGATCTCTTGTTTTCCTGTGGTTTTTGAGGAGTGTACCTAACTGGATTCCTCTCTGCAAAAGCTGTTTTCCTTATGCGCCAAGTGTTTCCCTTGGCTGCAGCACCTTTTGAATGACTTTGCAGATGAAAACATTAATCTTTTTTAGAAACAAATCCTTTCTTTAAATGCTCTGATGTTGCATTTTTGGTTTAGAATGTGTCCCTGCCCATGACAGGGGCACTGGAACTAGATGATCCTTAAGGTCCCTTCCAACCCAAACCATTCTAGGATTCTATGATTTCTCTATTCAACTTTAAAGAAACCCAAGAAAAAAACCAAACAAACCAAATACAAACCAAACCAAACCGAAAACTTCCCAAGCCATTCAAAATCTGTGTAAATACATGGAATTTAAGACTGAATTGTAGTGCTTGAGTAGCTTGGGGTCTAGTAATATCTTCATCACCCAATTAAGAAGGGATGTGAGCTGACAAATTTTATTCAAAGGGGGATTTTTACTCTGTGTCTTACTGAGCAACACAGACTGAAAATAAATAAATAAATAAATAATGTTTACGTTAATTAAATGTCGTTTCCCTTGTGCTTTTGAAAAGGATCCAGACAAGTTCCAGTTTGGACATACCAAGATCTTCTTCCGCGCAGGCCAGGTGGCGTACCTGGAGAAACTGCGGGCAGACAAGTTCAGAGCTGCCATCATCATGATTGAGAAGACGGTGCGGGGGTGGCTGCAGAGGGTCAAGTACCAGAGGCTGAGACAAGCCACAGTCGTCCTCCAGCGCTACACACGCGGGCACCTGGCACGGAGGTGGGTCGTGGGGAGCCCTCCGAGGAAAGAGCTGGCTGGGAACTCGAGTGTAAAAAAACCACCTCTGCCCACTCGTGCTTTCGATTTTCCGTCTTGTAGGTCTTCAACTTGAGGTTTTCGTACAAAAACACCTTTGAAAACGCCCTGCGTGGGGTGTTGCCTTTTAACCCCTTGAATGTAAGGCACGTACTGTGCACGTGGATAACAATGTAGTGAAAGTTTCTGTGCTGAAGTCAGGACTCGTTCCTGGTCCCTCTCTTCAGCTTTACTTGGGGGCAAGAGATAAAAATTCTTTACCTCAAACTGGTTTCATGTCTACACTAGTTTAGTTTCTAGGTGCTGGGCCAAGGTCATAGCATAGGCAGCTGGGTTATAATCGGATGACTAAAGTACTCTGAAGTATTTAGGTGAAGGTATTTCACAGAACTAATATTTTCCTGGGACTACCTGTGGTAAAGGGCATTTGGATCAGCCAGGGAGCAGTTGGCTAGTTGATATGCACTGTCTTCTGCAGGGACCAGCTTTGTTCCTCCTTAATGTCCAAGGGGAGCTCTCAGAATTGATTGGCTGTATCCTTTTTAATGAGAAAAATCACTCCGAATCACTGGCAGTGGGGCTGTTTGCAGTACAGAATAACAGAGCTCAGTGTTTAACTCTTCATGTGAAGGAACCTCAAGCTCCCTCGTGCCAGTGGCTTGCTGGGGTTTCTGTAGATAACACTGTGCTGGGCTGCTGGTGTCAGATGTGTGGTGAATGTGAGGGAGCAGAAAATCAAAGGAATAGCGTCCCAACACAGCAATCACTTTCCATCTCTTGCCCCTTATTCAAGTCTGACACTGCTGTGTACAGTCACACTGTGTTTTGGAAGAGCGTCAGAGGTACTGGCTGAATTTGTGGTGTTACTTGTGATTGTGAAAGGGATTGGTGTCATGGAGAATCCAGGGATGAGAAGGTCTAGGAGAAGCAAAGATGGGCAGTTTGGTGACTTTTATTTAAAACTGAGTGTGGGTTTTTCTTGTATTCATAA